TGGACGTTAGCGCCACCAGCGTATCCACTACATCTGGCAGAGGGGTGTGTCGAAGAGAGAAGGGACTGTACATGTTCATGCAATCATGTCAGAATGGCTAGAAAGATGGCTGCCTGGATGTACAGTACCGTAACTGCCTTGTGAGGCTGACGCCTTACACTCCACAAACTAGGTTAAACGATGGAGCTCATTTGGAAGCCATGGCATCATCACAGAGCTCACACCATGTTCCCTTTCCGGAAGCTTACGGGAGGCTCGTGGCTCGTTTGTGTCGGGCTGCAGGCAGCCCCGTTGCGGGGAAAGGCTAGGGTAACGCCGTCTTAGTCCCGGCGCGTGGGTGGTTTGCGGTCCGCCGGTCTCCAGTTAGCCTCCACGACGAAGTTCTCATGTGTAATGGTTCGGTGGATTTGAGAGGGTCTTGAAGAGTTCTCAAAGCGGCTCAGTGGGCATCAGGAACAAATGAGGCTACCTCAGCAAAGCTTGAGTGCGCCACCCATGGATTGCGATGTTGGCATTCTCCTTGGCGGTCTTGTCGTTTTTCCCAAGAGCGAAGGCGAGGGAGAAGAAAATACCTGGGAATACTGGATATATATTTGGACCCAAACTCCCGTGGGAGAAAGCTCGTCAAGGATGAGAGGCTGGTGATGGCTGGACAAAGCTATGCAGGCTATCTACTTCAGCGCCCTCAAAATGGTTCGACATGCCGTCCGAGTTGGACCTCGACCTATCTACGTCCGCATGTGACTCCTGGCGAAGGACCTCGCGAGTCACCATGATCACGTCGCCATCCTTGGTCGACTTGCGCGGGAAGATCTCGTCCTGCGACTCGTTCTGTGCTACCGCGTGCCGAAGCGCTTCGACATGGCTCGACGTGCCGTATGCCCGCGAGTGGATGCGATTGGCATTCTTCGAGGCCGTGCCCTTGTTAGTATAGGCAATGCTTCCGCGGCTCTGCAGGCGATAGGAAGCTCCCTGTTGTCTTGAGTTGCCATAGTATCGATTCGAGCTGTCCCCAGTGGAAAGCCCCAGGGCCGTGTTGAGTCCCGGGATCTTCCTGGCGACTTGTCGAAGTGGCGGTATGCAGGAGCAAATTATCAGAGCACATAATTCGGCTTCACACCAGATCAGTGGTTCGGCGAGCAGATCTATCTCGGACGGTCCCAGGTCAGCGAAAAGTCAATCGTGTACGAGCATTGCAATCATTTCTGGTATCATGCTTACATGTAATGTTCTTCCAATCAATGCTTGTGACCGCATGAATGCGGATGACCGAGATCGATGTCACACTATGCAAGGTAGATGGTCAGCATTTTGTGCGCGCGATGGGTCAAAGTTTTATCCGTTTGGCTTACAGCAGACCGAGTGACATCATGGCAATGAGACCGATCCTCTTTGCCACTGGCATCTGTAGCTTCCACATGACTGGAATTGGCTGGATGAAAAGCGAAAGATCCGTGAACAGGTTGAACACAAACTAATCAAACAAGACTATTAACTCCAGAAATGCCACAGTTTTATGTATGAGCTGCTTGGGTCATCAGACACTTACATCAGTCCACCAAAGCACCCACAAGTTAAGGCAGGTGCCTTCCATGAGCGGATCCCAGGATTTCTCGACCGGGCTACACGCGAACGTGACCACCATTATCTCTTCTATGGCTTGACAGGCCAAAAAGGCACATAACGTGTAGTTGAGGATTCTGGAGTTGCTCAGTTGGTCAGCGTTCGCTGCGGCAATCAAGGGAGTGGGGGACCAGAACTCACCTGTACTTCGGGTTTGGAAGCAATCTTAAATACAGCACGGCAAAGCTTGCTTTGGCGGCGCAGATACCAGCAGTGTAAAGGGCTGAGGACGCGGTTTGAAGCTACTCTCCCGTTGAGTCTTCCATCTAAGCTGAACAGAGGTCTGTGTGCCTACCTTCAAAAATAACACGAGGTCGGGATAGGCGACTTCTTCTATGGGATACCCAAGACCATGGCGGGCGGCTATATGCCGGCGTAATTAGTGACAGATCGGCATACCTCCAAGTACGGAAATCGTTATCTGCAGACAGGATGTTGGTGCTGCGTACCTTCCATCACAACTGCGATCATAGCTATCGAGCATATCTTTGAAAGTCGGCGAGAGTCAGTGATCTGTCTACTGCCGCTCGCTCAAAGACGCGGTCGAGATACGTAAAGTATAGGGCATACCCAGCTGAACAGGATCAAAGCTAAGGGTTATAAATGCGAATATCAGTATTTGTAAAGGTGCACCACAAGAAGGCATAGGACATACCATCGTCAATACCAATGGAGCGAATGATGAAAAATCGGGCCCAAATCCGCATGGCCATGAAGAAGCCAGTCAGAAGGAGAAAGATGACGCCCGAAGTAAAAACGTGCCCAGCTAAATTGACCATAGTAGCGATCTGCAAAGTTGCAAGATAGATGTCTTTGGCTGATTCGATAATGTGTTTTGTTACATGATATCTTAGTATGGAAGGGTTGTAGTGCGCTCTTTTAAATCGAGGAGGGGTTGAGGTTGTGTTATATCACAAGCTGAGGTGGTACCATGCTCCGGGCAATATTGACTTTCATGGCAAGGTTGGGAAATTACAGCTGAGCGAGCTAGGAAGCTTCCCCGGATTCCAGCGGTATCTGTGGAGGTGTGAAAGTGTGAAAGGTGGCAACAGCCGTGGCGCAACAGCTCCCCGACGCCCACCAGTATTACCCAAATGTAGTAAACACCTACCTATAGGTATCCAGATATCCTCCAGCATGGCGTATTTCGAGTTGTGCAGACAAGAAGTGTGTTGCGGGACCAGTGCAGGGTCTACCTGACGGAATAGTCGATGTACGCGCCTTCGGCCAGAGCGTTCTGCAGGGTCTGCCTGTGCCGCCTTTGTGGCTTGGTGGCTCTGCAGATATATTGGACAGGCTTCGTGAGTGCCTCAAGGACCAAGGTGATTAGTCGTGGACCAAGGTGATTAGTCGTGGAGCTGTCTTGGCGGCGAGTGATGGAGGGGGCCGAACTCTGGGTCTGAAGACGTCGAGCTGGTCACTGAATATGACAAAGGGCCACTCAGAAGCGAGCACCCTGGGATACCTAATACCTTAAGGTACGCTAGCGTACCTGATGCTGGCAGGCTATCCTGGGGAAGTTGGGTCGAAGCCGGGTCGAAGCTGTCACAGCTGCGGGTTCCGCGCCGTTGAGTGGCGTGCTATGGAGGGGGCCGAGGCTTCGAGCTTGACGAGCTTGACGAGCCATGGATGCTGGGGCAAGGGGGCTGTTGGCGCTAGCTGCGGGCGTGGTGGGCGTGCGTGGTGGGCGACTAGGACAACTCGAGCGACGTCCGCCAGGGTGCGCGTGCGCGACTGCTCAAGTGCGCCTGCCATGGATGGTGCGCCCCACTTCCCCAGCCTGGTCGTGGACGAGGACCTGGCTCCCGGGTCGTGCCTGCCAGCCCCTGACCCCGGCCGCTGCCCCTGCCCCTGCATCCTCACCCGCTGAAGCTTCAGCCCTTCTCGCCCTTCGCCTGACCACGCGCATCATTGGACCCTCCCCTCCTCATCTACTGCGACGCACTCTCTCGGCCCGCACAGGCCGCCGAGCACCCCGAGAGCATCAACCCGGACCATGAGCCATGAGCCATGAGCCATGCTGCTAGTCTTGGTTTCAAACCTCTTCGTCATCCATCGTCGGCAACCGGCACCGAGCACGTCGAGGTCTGGCCCCTGATCACATGTTGGCACTGCTGCCAGCCACAAACGACACACAAAACCACACAAGACCACCCAAAAGACAAACGCCCTCGAAAACCCTGCCTCCCGCCGTGTCACCAAACTGTGCCGCGCCAGATCTCGTCGACCACTATCTCAGGAGAGCCTTCCCAGCCCCTTTCAATCCTCAGCCGCAGAGAGTAGATCATCTCATAAACCGCAACCAGATCAGCACATCCGTGCAGATCTTCTCTTGCTCTCTCAGCCGTGGCGGTCGGGGCCCGCGAACATTCTCTGGTGCAATGTGCTCCAGGGCCCTGTTCTTGGGCGCCAACGGCTTCCCCTGAGACAACGTGCTGATTCCTCGTAAGTGCCTTGTGGCACTAAACCTTCGCGGCACACGACCCGCGAGGCCGGCGCAGGCATCCCAACCCGAAAGCCAGCAGCACGACTCCTTTAAGCTTGGTTTCATTCGCCACAGCCACCCGCACGCGTTGTGTGTCGCCAACATTTGAGCTCCTAGCAGCCACGGCAGGATTACAATATTCTTCTCTCTTGGTTCAGAAGTCCTCGTTGGCCCCATTGATCAATCTTGCTTCCAAGTCCGGCTGGTCGCGGCGGAGCATGGTCTTGTGCCAAGCCGAACTCTGACGGCACGGCTATGCTCACCAACTTATGCTGGTGACTGCCCAGCTCCTAGCAGCGAGTTTCTTTGTACCCCGGGATCCCGAAGGGGCCGCCGGCCCATTCCGGCATGACTCAAGTTTAGCTACATTTCCCCGCACAACAGACTCGCTCATTTCACCGACGGTGCCATCGACCAGAGCTGGGGAAGTGAGGGGTGTGGGAGTCGTACGTGGGCGTGGGGATAGAACAGCTGTTCGAGGCCCGCCCCGAAAGCGAGACTGAAGCGCACGAAAAAAGACTGTATGGGCGCCATGGTAATGGTGAACCGGTAAATGCGGCCGTTCCCTCTTGCTCTGCAGTATCTGAGATACAAATACACGCTTGGCCCAGACATTTCCTCTTCAGGCCACGGCCGATCTGTTACACAAGACTTTTGTTATCTCGCAACTTTCTTTTTACCCCCGATCTCGCACCGATCCTGCCACTCCCGGACCGCCAGACCAAGTGCCAGATAAAGGCCAAGCTTCGGGAGCATTGTACGGGGCACTTTACAAAACACGGCGACGCTGCTGCCAACGCTAAAACACCGGATCTCTGGATCACTACAATTCCACTTTTAAATTCGTCCCTCGAGGCATCAATTGGCAGAGCGTAAGCCCGGCACAGGCGCAATGGCCGACTTTCCCGTCCCCCAGCACTCGACGAGTGCCGATCGGGACGCTGCCCAGCGGCTGCACAACCCCATCCACGCCGAACGCCATGTTCGCGTCATCACAGTAGGCGCCGGTGCCTCTGGCCTGCTCATGGCCTACAAGCTGCAGAAGCACTTCAACAACTACAGCCTCGTCTGCTACGAGAAGAACCCAGCAGTATCAGGCACGTGGTACGAGAACAAATACCCAGGGTGAGCCCGTCCCATCTGTCAAACCCAATACCGAAATGAGAACCGTAATTAACCACTCTTCACTTCTCAGATGCGCCTGCGACGTCCCTTCACACAACTACACATGGTCATTTGAGCCGAAGACCGACTGGAAGGCAACCTACCCGCCCGCTCAGCAGATCTTTGAGTACTTCAACGACTTTGCCACAACGTACAACCTATTCCGATACATCAAGCTGCAGCACCAGGTCGTCGGCGCGTACTGGAACAACGACAAGGGCGGGTACGACGTGCAGGTCAAAGACCTGGCGTCGGGCAAGATCGTCAACGACCACTGCGACATCCTCGTCAATGCCGGTGGTATCCTCAACAACTGGAAGTGGCCCGCCATCCCCGGCCTCGACCAGTACAAGGGCACACTGCTGCACACGGCCAACTGGGACGACAACGTCGACCTGACTGGCAAGCACGTCGGTCTGATCGGCAACGGCTCTTCGGGCATCCAGGTCCTCCCTGCGATCCGAGAAAAGGTCAAGAAGGTGACCACTTTTATCCGCGAACCCACATGGGTCTCTCCTGTACCAGGTCTCGAGCAGAAGATCTTCACCGACCAGGAAAAGTCCGAGTTTGCCAATGTTCCCGGCAAGCTGACCGACTACCGTAAAGGTATCGAGTCTGGCTTGAACGGGCAGTTCGGCCTCTTCTTGCAGAACAACAAGATCAACCTCGAGACGCGCGAGTACATGATCAACGCGATGAAGGAGAAGATCAACGACCCTTACCTCGAGTCCAAGATCATCCCCGAGTGGTCTCTAGGCTGCCGCCGCCTGACCCCAGGAGTGAACTACCTCGAGTCCCTGACCAAGGACAACGTGCAGGTCGTGTACGGCGAGATCAACAGCATCACCGAGCGCGGCCCGCTCTGCGACGACGGCAACGAGTACCCCGTCGATATCCTGATCTGTGCTACCGGCTTCGACACCACATTCAAGCCGCGCTTCCCCGTCGTCTCAGACAAGGGCGAGAACCTGCAGGATGTCTGGTCCCAGGCTGACCCGACGTCCTACTTTGGTCTGGCCGCCGCCGACTTCCCCAACTACCTCATCTTCCTGGGCCCCAACTGCCCGATCGGCAACGGCCCCGTACTGTGCGCGATCGAGGCCCAGGCCGACTGGATGTGCAAGTGGATCGACAAGTACCAGACGACCAACATCAAGACGTTCGCGGCCAAGCCCGAGGCCGTGGCCGACTTTGTCGCCTTCAAGGACCAGTTCATGACCAAGACGGTGTGGGTGCAGAACTGCCGCTCGTGGTACAAGGGCCGGCCCGACGGGCCGATCCTGGCGCTCTGGCCGGGCTCCGCGCTGCACTACCTCGAGTGCATCAAGGACCTGCGCCTCGACGACTTCAACGTCACCTACGCCGGCAACCGGTTCGCCTGGCTCGGCAACGGGTACTCGCAGACTGAGCTCGACGAGACGGCCGACTGGGCCTACTACATCCGGGACCAGGACGACGACGAGCCCCTCAGCACCGCCGGCCGGAGGAAGAAGCTGACAAAGTCGGGCACCGTGTTTGACCGGGCCGCGGTCAACTTCTCGGGTGCCAAGGACGTGGAGATGAGGGGTGTTGTGGAAGAGCAGCCCACTGCCCGTTTGTAGATGGGACGGTCTGAAGCGCGCGATATTGCATGTAACCAGCGAAACGTCGTTATTGGTATTTGAAAGGATGTGGTTTGATACGCGGGACTTGGTGTATATATTCTCGAGCATCAGCAACGAGCTGCTATCGAATCACAGCTATGAATTCCTCTTCCATTGGAGGTGTGGTCAACTATTCTGCGGGTGGGGCCGGTTCGGGCTGGTCGCGGCCTTGAGCGCCGCCGTGTGCAGGCCTTGGTGGTGGTGAACCACGCCGTCGGCGCTGAATGTCGTCATATAGAGCTCGAGTTCGTAGACGAGCTCGCAAGTATCTTTCCACAATGTCTTAGCAGCCTGCGGGAGCGCGCACGTAGCTCGAAGTTATGTGATCAGGCTCTGTGGGGCCGCGGGTACTGCCATCCACACAAAGCTCCGGGCAGTTCCCATCCTCAATGGTAGAGAACGCACCGTGTTTCTCAAGAAGCTCGCGAGCAGACTCATCAGAGAAATCAGAGAAATGGACGGCATGATCTAACGGCGTCCTGCCACAGATATTCATCGGGTTCACGTCTGCCCCATGCTCCAGCAAACACCTGGTGATACTGAGCCAGCCGAGTAGCGCTGCCCAATGAAGGGGTGTGTTCCCGTCCGAGGTAACGGCGGTATTAATGTGTGTTCGGCTGAAACTGAGAAGCTCGCGAAGACCGTCAGTGTGACAGTGAATCGCTGCGTACGTGAGGAGCTCGGGTTGACTGGTGTTATATATGCCGTGCGTCCTGAGGACTGGCAGCAGACGCTCTTTTAGTTTCGCGATGCGCTCAAATGGCAGACTTCGCGCCACCAGTTCGACACCGAGATCGCAGCTAGAAGCAAGCTCTTTTGGGCCTGTGTTATACCATTTCACCATGTCTAGCTTTGCGCCCTTCGACAGGAGGAGGTTCACGATGGACTCATGCCCTAGCACCGCAGCGTGAAAGACAAGAGTGCATCCGCAACGAAGAGCCTCGTCAATTAGAAGTTGATAATAATCCAACAGCATCTCGAATATTGTAATATTGTCACGCTCAAGCGCCATGGCCAATATATTTTTAGCGTTTACTCGCGATGACATAGCTGCAGCAGCCTGCGTGTGTTGTTCCTCAAGTAAGAGTCGGCTGACCATTTTTTCACAGGCGTACAACGCCGCGTGAGTAAGGGGCGTGCCGTATTCTGGATGCTGAATTGCTAGGCTGGCTCCTTTGCGCACTAAGGCTTCAACGAGGAGCACTTCTCCGTGGCGAATCGCCCACCACAGCGATGGTTGCCCAGGGTCGGTTGATGATTTGGGACGTTGCGGTTCGACCTCTTGCACGAGGCTTGGAGGTGGGCGAAGGAACCCCCAGAGTCCTGGCGACTCGCTCTTGTTGATGATCTTCGCCATCGCTCCGGCGGCCGTACCGTGTACGAAAATGTTAAGATACATCGATTCCTCATGATGGTGCTTTAGCAAATATGCCAGCATTGTGTCCGAGTATGGGTCCTGATCGCGACGATGACGATGCTTGAGTATTGACATTATGACACTGCACGAATTTGTGGAGTGCTGTACGGCGGCGAACAAAAGTGCGTCCCTAATAGCTTCCCAGCTACCCGTCTGTAGAAAGGCTTGCAGCATTGCAGGCCCGTTGTCGGGGTAACTGTTAACAGCAGTAGCGATGACTTCTTTCGACATTCCCAGCTCGGTACCCCATCTACTGAAAAGAGAGAACAACATCTCCCAAGGCTGGCTTGACCGCAATAGTCTTTGAAAGATCTTGGCCTCGTGGGTGGACATAGACTGCTGGTCGCGTTCAGCAAGCAGCCTTGTAATGGCGTAACGTTGAGTCTCGTTCTGGAGGATACTGGCGGCCAACTGTTCGGAAAGCTCGAACTGCCCCTCCCTGGTCTTGCTGAGGACCTCCATGATTGCTGCACCTTGTTGTCGATTCTGCACGGCACCCAACACTACCCGTTCCGGCAGTCAATCCTGAGGACCTCGTTCTAATAATGACTGGATCATTGCTGCTCCATGGACTTCGTTTCGTGCGGCATCCTCCATCATTGTGGTGGTGAAGTCAAAATACTGATGCCTTTCGCGAAGCATGAACATTACGCCCTGCATCGCACGTACGTCTGTTGATCTGAGAAGTAGACTGAATGTCCTCGAGTGCAATGTTGCCAAGTTGTCCAGAAACGACTTGATAGTATCAGATGGAGTTAGAGGCAAGCATTGCACGTCACAGCCGCAGATATATGCGGTTGTATTTCGCACAACCTCGGATTCGTGTATTGTATAATCGGTTACGAGCTGTTTGGTATTGGAGGGCCCACAGAGGCCGAGGAGCGCGTAGATCTTGTCTCGCTCGATGCTTGACATGGCATGGTGAAAGTTCCTCAAGATGGGGTATAGTTGTTGGTTTTCCTTGTTGGCTAGCCACGTGCTAGAACGCAGAGGCGAGGGCATCGCTTCCATGATTTGCCTCCGATGTCCTCCGACGTGGACCTTGAGCAGCTCCGGCGCGGCGACGAATAGATTCTGGGCGTGACTTGCATCCAGGCTCCTCGCTCTTAGCCGAGACCAACGGCACGCGGAACGTGGAGCACCAGGAGAGCTGCCTTCAACTCCCGGCGAAACGTGACATCTACAACCTACGCGACTCAGGCTTCCCACTCGAGAAAGTCAAACCGCCGACGCCTGGCCCACTCTCGATAATCGGGTATTGCTGCTTCTACTGGGTCAATCATTTAGAAGAGCACATTACGAATCAGGATGAAGGCAGGAATGTACGCGGCGGTGGAATAGCAGATAGCTTCTTGCGCAATAAGGCTCTCTACTGGATTGAGGCGCTGAGTCTACTACGTGGCATCTCAGACAGCATCGTTGCATTGAAGGGTCTCAAACAGTGTATTCAGGTATTTTCATATATGCCCATTTGCACGTCAAGACTTCTGAATCGAGCAGGATCGTCAGGGTGCTTCAGGTCTTCAGGCGATAGTCGTTGACGTGTACCGTCTGCTACGAAGCTTCCGGCCGGCGATCGAGAGCCGACCACTGCAATGTTACGCCTCGGCACTCGGTTTCAGTCCTGCTAAAAGTTTAGTACGAAAGCTCTTCCGCGGCGAGGCCCCAGAGTGGGTGAAGTGCAAACCGGAACTGTCAGAGCGGTGGAACGCATGCGAGGCGACACTGGAGGGCCATACCGGACCGATCCGGTCGGTAGCCTTCTCCCCAGATGGCTGGCGCGTTGTCTCGGCATCGGAGGATAAGACAGTCAAGCTGTGGGATGCGACTACGGGCATGTGCGAGGCGACACTCAAGGGCCATACTGACTGGGTCCTGTCGGCAGCCTTCTCCCCAGACGGCCGGCGCGTTGTCTCGGCATCGGACGACAGTACAGTTAAGCTTTGGGATGCGACTACGGGGTTGCGCGAGGCGACATACGAAGTTGATGCCAATAGTCCTGTCTCATTTGACGAGACTGAAAAGCATGTTTATGCTGGTATTCGAGTGTTCCGTGTTGGAAATGCCATGCAATACATCCTGGATCTATATCAAAATATGTCGATCACAGCCGGCCGCCAACGCCTTAGTATCAGTTCGGATGGCGCATGGATTTTGAGGGATTCGCAGCCGGTCCTCTGGCTTCATCCAGAGCCCCGATCGGAAGTTGTCGGGTGGGCCATAGTGGATGCAGAGACGAAATTGGTTATTGGATGCCCGATTGGCCGCGTTTTTATCCTAGATTTCACATCTTTCTAGAGTCACGTAGGATATAATTGGCGCCTTTGACTCTGTCCCCATTTGCCTGAAATAGAGTTGGGCTTTAGTTTTCCTCCGATATATCGTACCTAGATATCCGAGCATATACAGTATAACCATCTTGTTTATCCCCTCATAATATTCTTGCCATACAATCAACATGGAGTAGACTTCACTCAGTAGTGGGCTTAATTCACAGTGCACGTCTCATCTCATGCGACATCAGTATTGTGAACCGACTTGAACCAATGGGATTTTGTCTTTACGATTGATTTTCTGTACGAATCAAATTGCGAGTAAGGAACCACAAAAAAGCCGTGGACGCGCTGCTGGTAGCTGGGAAACCCTTCGTGAGGCAACAGCTTCGTGCGAGAAAGCCGTATCAGGTTAAACAATAATAACGTCCCGCTGTGCCCAAGCCAAAATGACAAGAAAGTCACTCAAGGTGAAAACATCTCATAAGATCCGGTCAGATTTGACTTCGACTGCAGATCAATAATTCATTCGGTCCAAAGAAGCTTTGGGAGTGCTTCTAAGGAATGCTCTCCAGGCATTGTCCTATTTATGCAATAAGTGAATCCAACGTGCAGCCCGAAATGGCTGCCTTGACTGCCCCACCTGCATGCAGCTTTATTTATAGCTCCATGCACTTGGCATCGCCAAGACAAGGCGAACCGTGCGCAGAGAGTCTTGCGTTCAGCGGAGGTGGACACCGATTTCGAATTCGACTGTACTCTGCCGTCATCCTGCGATGGGCAATGCGAAGATTGTCCGACAATCCGCCATGGTCACCACTGCAGATACAGTACAGTAGTGCGACGAACAAACAACCTTTCGTTAGTGCCAACCGCTGCACGTGATGGTGCAATCCACTTTTGGAGCTACTGGCTGTGGGACTGTCAGTACAGTGTGTTTTACAGTGCAAAGTCGGTGCTGGTCCGTGCGGAGTTGTTCTATGATGCTAGAAACGCGGACACAGTTCGCGGTCACTACTGTAGCAGCCGGAAGTAGCCTTATATAATCAAGAGGAACTTCTCCAGAATAGGAGCAGCAGTTACGCTTACTATGTCCTTAAAGGCTTATCTACATAAGAATGGCCGCGGCCAGCTACATACTCCACTGGTTAAGTCAAGGCAAAAGTGTGCGGGTGTTACCTACAATTATCAATGCAAAAGACTAGGACTCGTACTGAGCAAGCAATCCCTGCGTCCAGTCGGCCTTTGTCTCCCAATATGATCGACTTCGAGATCCGTGCCTTAGGCGGCATGACCACTGCATTCGACACAAAGCCTGAGGAGCTGCGGAACCTAAAAAGCCCTGTCCCGATTGGAGATAGAATTATTGAACTGAATGTCGAAAATGCGCGCCTAAGGCGTGAAATAGACTACTACAAGACCTTAACCAACGAGGTCCTCCACCCACTTTTAGCCCACGTCCGTTTTCATACACAAGGACTGCTCTCAGCGATCCAAAGACTTGATGCGAAAATCGAAGAGGCCAATGCGCGATTGTGAGAAGAGTCGACGGGCTAAGTGGAAAAGGCGCGACTTAATCTGGTACTATGTTCTATAAGTGCTGTCTATCCAAGTTCGGCATTCCCTGCTCTTTATATATAGACGTGATATTAGTCTTGGGCCCAACTGGGAAGCCCGCGACGGTTGGGCGAAACTCGCGAAGGAGAAATGAGCCCGAAGTAATAGTACAACTATCCGTCCGTCTCACTCGATAGGCAAAACCCTATTAAGTAGTAGCTAGCGCCCTCTCGCCTATAATATATGGTCAAGTAGCGTAGCTCAATGAAAGCAGGTGCCATGGTTACAGGATCGTACCACGAGAGATAGAGAGAATAAGACATCTGCTCCGTGGACTATAAGACACATCTGCTGGCGCGGTCGAAGCTATATCCCCACGATACCGTCATGGTTTTGCGAGCGCTAGTCCTTACATGCTTCTTCGGAAAAGGCTCCCATCAATTGTAATTCCAAGTTTGTGACTTGAATGCTCCAGAAATGGCGCCTGGGTAACTCGTGAATGACTCCAGGCCATAGTCCCCTCCACTAGCTGCTTACTCAAGTGGAATTAATGTTGAGTCGACCTGTCCAACCACGAGCGATCTCTCCTTTATTCTCTGTTTCTTGCGATCGTCTGATTGCTAAAACCAAGATTTTCCTGTGCATATTTGAGAAGCAGACTTACTGGCTCAAGGTTTGCTAGACGAGGGCCGCGTTATACTATGTAAGCTTTCTTCTGGACATTATCCATACTCCGAACTTACCAATCGTTCAAGGACATTCCCTCGCCCCACGGTACACCAGTCGACGATTAATGAACAGGCAGGATACTGGAAAGCACTGTGTGAGCAAGCTACAGCCCAGCTCGAACTATGTCAATCGCAAAATCGTGACCTTAAGGACTTGGTAAAGAGCGCCGCAGAAAGCTTTGATGAGCAAGTGATGCGCAACGATATCCTACAAATGCAGCTAGACCAACATAAAGAAACTATGGCCGAAATGGTCAGAGAAGCTTCGGACAAAGACTACGTTATAGCAGCACAGGAATTCCTCCTCGGCGCTGCGAATGATGAGGTGAACAACTTGGGCAGATCCATCACGGAAAAAAATGGGCTGCTGGCTGCGTTCCAAGCACTGGACCAGCAGGATCAAACAGACCAAGGCCAGCCCCAGACAAAGAAGAGAAAGATAATGCGATAAAGTCTGAAAGAAAGTACTTGTTACGCTAATTATTGCAGGCAATATGGCGGGAGAGGACGACAGCTATAATGGAACTCTTACATAGTCCGCATGAACGAAAGTCATGAGGAAGGAGTGAGATCATTATTTATATGTCTTACTAATAAATTTTCTGATCCATCTCTCGCGCGTATATCTGTGTATATATCTGTGTTCATGTGCGAACCATTACGAGCCACGATTATTCCGTAAACAATTCGAGCATAACCGCGTGGCCTTGAAAAAGGGATTGATTCACGGTGTAGATACTCCAGCTCCCCTCTTTACTACACTAGCTCAGATTCTCGAACTCCGATTTGCCTAGAACTGTAGGAACTAATAGTTTCTCTACCTCCCTGATAAATTGATTCGGGTATGTACGTCCCCTGGATTTTAGGCTGTTAGTCATATGTTCTCCACTATGAACAGGCTCCCGCTATTGTAGGCGGCCGCCCGAGGATACCGGTAACACTTAGGCCATCGATTGTCTTCAATCACGCGGTCGCATACTACTTTATTTACAACTTTGCAATGTTTTTACGATCGTCATACGCTAGTGTTCTTTCGAGCCACGACGTAACGACGAGGATTATGTCAACCCTGGGAGACAACTACCCACGCGGCCCATCAAGCAACCCACCACGTAAAGGTGCATGCTGCTGCAGAAGGGAGAGGAAAAAGTGCATAGCAATTATGACCAGGCTGTGAACGAGTTGCGGAAGTATAAGAGAGTGACAGCGAGTCTGGTGGTCTGCGTCATGCTTGTTGAGAAACAATTCAGAGCGAAACGGGTAAATTACACATTCCCAAGAGTATCAAGGCATCAGAGAGAAGTGGTAGGAACCCCAACAACAATGGTATTGATAGTTACTAAGTATGGGTAGCTAGCATCATGGCTCCCGGCGAAGAGACCTTCGGTATCCCGAAACCCGCGGACGGGTCTTCCACAGCCAGTGGGACTCACTCGAGCAAAACGGCGGAGGAGCACAGCAACCCCATTAGCATACACTGAGAAGACCGAGGAGTTACATGGAATGGCGGACGTGGTTCAGGAAGCCAGTAGGAAAAAGGTTGTTAGGTGGTGGTTGGGATGAGGCCTGCAGCGCTATCTAGGTGTCGTGTTGCGCCAGCCTGCTCTGTGTCGCCAGTTTTACGCTGCTTCCGTACATGGACCCAGAGCAACCAGACACTAACCAGTGGCTCTGGCGAAGAATTGGCGATTGGCAGACACTAGCTTGTCAGATCCAACACGGCCGTGCAAGCCGGAAAAGGGATTCTTACCTCTGTGTTTACTCCGCCATAGATAAAGAGTATGGCTACGATGATATTTGGTATTGTGGCGAGTATGAACACGCCTCGTACAGTGATGATTTGATGCCCGTCGCATGTCGGTTCGAGAAAATGGAGCAAGGTGCAGTAAAGTAAGTACAATACTGCCAGAGTTCGTGAGACCATAACACCACAAGCTAGCAACGGCACTTGCTCGTCTGTAGACACTTGGAGGAGCGCGATAATGAAGCCGGGCCCGTAAATGATTGCTCTGTACGACCATAGCTCAGATGACCGTCCAAATTTCGCGATGAATGGGAGAGTTCTCTCCCTGAAGAGCTTGTCCTGCCACGGAGCCTTGTCCGTTCGGGTTAGCGAAATCCGGCTGTTTCGAGGATACAGCTCTACGTACGAGGCTGAGCATCGATCCGATGGATGCGAGGGATGTCGATAGGAGCCTGTGATCAGGTGGCGCGTTGTTGTCCTGTGGCGCTACTGCATATGACAATGCGATGACCCCGAGGAGAAATCGAAGCAGCAGAGTAATACCACAGAAACCGCATAGATCCCAGAGGAGATTGGACAATGTCCGTTGCGGGCGATCTTACCCCGGCTCCTGTGCCCACCTCACGCGGTACTGACAGGAGGACCAGTATCTGTGAATCGTCACTGCAGTGACCATCACTAACACTAAAACTGAGGAAACCAGAAGAAGAAGATCCATGGTGGAGGCGATGAAATTGACTGGCCGTGGCCCATACGGCTGTGCATGAGAAGACGGAAGCTGTCCTTTAATAGCAAGGCACTCCTCGACATGTAGATCTGACCAGACTCGCGAAGCGGAGCTGCTCCCGCGCCATGCCGTGCCAGCCCTTGCCGGTCGTCGCTTCCGCAATATCTCGCAAGCCGCACAGTGCATGTAGCAGTTGTCCGTTTGAGCAAGGCCGACCGTGGTTGCTCGGTTGAAGACGAGACCCCCCACTCCATCACGGCCGCTCAGGTTGGCATTGGACTCCACAAGTGATTTGCGCCTGAGGGTCGAGGGTTCCCTCATTGTCAGTACTATCAGATGATCGAACCGGGCCGGGGCCATCCGTCAACCATATGAGCCCGTAAAGCGCGAAGCAGCCTAGTCGCGGCAAGCGAAGTTCATCTACAGTGGAGCAAGTCCAGGGGAAGAAGGTACCCCCGAAACCAAAGGGCCCAACATGGGGCCTGGAAGTCGCTGCGAGAAGATGGGCTTCGCGCAAATGGCCAGGGGGCTTGTCGCTCGACTGTCTCAATATGTCGTTGCCTTATGTAGACATGGATGACAGTTGTGAGGGGATTTGCCCGCCATGCCTGCCGCCCCGAGCAAGGGCACTGAAATTGCAACCGATTCCACCACGCCACTGGCGCTTCTCCTGGTACAAGCATGGATATAATTATATATCTCTCAGCTCACGGTAGGGTAAGCGCAATGGGCGCTTGCGCCCAGGTGTTGGTTCTTGAGGGCAGATTGTTTCTTACAACCCTTGGTGGCATGTGCTATCCAACTTGTTGAGGCCTGGTATAAATAGTCGGGATGAGGGAACGACGGTTCCAGCTTGCTGATCCCCCTCAACATCATCGCAAAGACAAGTCTGAGAGCTTGCGACTCTTGTCCTTCCCGAGAGAAAAAGGTCAGAACAAGGCTACCACGTAACGAGTTCTTCACTTCAAACAAGGATGGCTAACAATCGATAATAGTGCCAGCAGTGTGCTGTCTATAGCAGCGCCTGCACAAGAACAGGGAAGCCACATACTACAATGCCGGAAAAGCATGGGAGCCAGCAGGCTGAGGGCAACAACGATTCTGTTTCCCTTGACGGCTCAGGGCTCGCATGCGCTTTCCGATGCTTCCGCCACAACGATATCAAGGACAAAGCCGAACAATACCAACATCACCAGGATCACTTGCAGCAAAAGCTTCCTCATTCGTGCAGTTGGCCTACTTGCGCTCACAGTTACTGCTCAAAGGGAAGGGTCAATTCTCATATCGTGGTCGATCATGTCAGAGCGCATCCTCACTTATGCAACTACAAGTGTGGGAAACGTTTCAAGACATTCGAGTCGTTGAGGCGACATGAGAAAACTCGTCACGCCGAGGTATGATCTCCGCTCTCCTGTAGCCAGACCGAGAATAACCATCTATTGTCTTGTAGCGAGTCGCTACGAGCGGAGCATACACTTCCTCTGATCCAAGACCGGGAAGGTGGCGTCACCACCTATCGAGTAGTACTCCCTCCCGGCATGAGCTCTCTCGATCACCGCTCGATAGTCCCACTTGCACCTCGCAAGCGTCCTCTCCCGTTTCCGACCACCAGGAGACCCCGGCTCACACCCTGAAATCGCCTATAGCCGCAATCGCCCAAGCACACCCATTATCTCACCGTGTTATATCGATGGATGATGCGGCCAGTGCCTCGCAAGCGCTCGTCAACTCTACTATCCAACGGGAGACCAACGGCCACCAAAGCTACTGTGCCGCTATGAACTACTTGGATCGTCATCCAGTGACAAGGTTCACCGAGGAGAACTTTCAGGCAAAGATTCTGCAAGTGCTAAGCGCTGCAGGTCTACCGCCCTCATGGGATGATCCGCGAGAGTGGGCGGTACAAACGGCCATTTCGCTGAGAAAGGCTCTTGATGAAGCAGAAGCAGCGGTAAAAAAGCATGTGGCAGCCACCGACGCACTCATGCGGGAGATGCAGCAGACGCAATCCGTATTAAGACTTTGTGCGTATTCCTGTGACTCTCTGCCGGGCGTCCTTCAGGCTTTGGAGCGGTGTGCCCAGGTAGAGGCCCTTGCAAAGGAGGTGAACCTCGCATTCCAGGCTCGATTCTTTCACATTTCGTGTTTACTAATAGTGCCCGCGTGAGTTAGACGCGTTTTAGGGCAGTTTCAAAGTCTAGAACGCTGACTCGATTCATCATTGTCTCTCCTGATGGTTCTTATCTGTGTTAAGTGTGAACATGGCCGGTCTTTGTGTAGACCAATTAGCTCACATGAGCCCGTCGGAAGAGTAAAACCCCTAGCGTTATTGCTCCGCATCACCGACCCTGCTCCGGACGGACTCGGATCCGAGAGACTCTGGCCAGAACATAGTCCATCGATTCCGTCATGAATATGTATGGGATCATGAGCAAAGCAGGGTAGCATGGTCTTCACTTCATAGTTGCGAGAGTTTGAGCAAGGCCTTGAGGGGACTGTCACGCCGACATATGAGCAAGCTTTGTATTAAGTCCTAATTAGAGATGCAAAAGGGTTCAGGAATGTATCAAGGTGTAACAGAATGGCTGAAGAAAAGAAGGGCCGCACTCCGGCCAGCCCTTGAAGCTGTCCTGGACCGAGGCGCAAGTGCTCCAACTACTCCTTGAACTATTTGATGGAAGGAGGCGAGGCGTTGAGCGGTCAACACCTGCCTTCCCCCAACTGGACGAAGTCGGTGGCATCGTCCTCATTGCCTAAGTCGTCTTGTTCCTTCTTGACGTGCTGAGGATCGGGGTAACAGTCTCCATGTTGAACTTCGAGTTCGCTGTCAGACGAACATGAAGGACTCGATCGTACTCGCAGATCCAGGAACGGATCGCTTCTTTGCAAGAGCGGCGTGGTCGTATTACTGCGGTCGTCGAACGATGTATCTTCTGAAGCGAAGCCGCCTGCCGAGATGTTGGTAGGGGAAACAGGTGACCGCTGCTGTCGACAAGCTCGCGCGTCGGAATGGGGCCCATGGTAGAAGACCGGCAGATTGACGGAAAGATGGCGAAGTTTTGGCAGACTTTCGAGTTCCTGTGCTTCGTGGGAGCGGAGGAGTTGATCATAGTGTTTGGCCATGTTGACGTAATGTGTGACAATTTTGGCGTAATGTGAACGAAAATACAGCAACTCCCTACGACGAAGATCTCCGAGTGGCATTTTCACTTCGAAAGGGGCACTCCTTGCCAGTTTGAATTCGTAAGTCTCCTCGAGAATACTGCCGATGCTTGTGAGGCATTCAATGGTGAACGTGACACTTCTTGAAGGGGGAATCAAAGTCTGAGGTATATCGAATCGAATGTGGCCATCTTCAATGACTCCTTTGTCCAGGGGGAGATCTGGGTGTGGCAGATCAGTCGATAGGAGACCTTTGAATTCGTATGGCTGGGAAGGCCATGCATCCGCGCGAAATCGAAAGCTGTACTTCTCTACAGTGACATCAGCCATCTCGAGGACGAGGACAGCGTATGAGCAGAGGAATGCTGTAAAGGCGGGGAGGAAACTTGGTAAGATGGCTGTTGGGAAGGTGGAATGAAAGAACCAGGGTGGCGAGGTGATCTCCGCTATCGCAAGACTGGAACAGTATTTGTTCTATCTAGGCTAGAACTTGACAACTACCTTGACACCCGAAACGCCGGCCTGTTGCTTGTTGAGGGCGTCGTCAATGCTAGCGATACCGCCCTCGACGACGACTGTCTTATTAGGCACAAGCTCGCCGCTCGCGAGCCACTTAGAAACGTTCGGGTAGAAGGGCTCCGATACGTAGCGGTACTCCTTGGCCGGTCCGACGGCGATGATGTTCTTGATAACAACAGCGCGCGCGCCGCCTTCCGTCTTGTTGCCCAACTGCACCGCCTTTTCCTCCGGCAGAAGCAGGCATACGACGTGACCGTTATCGCCGCGGACCTTCTTAGCCGCCTGCAGGATCTCGACGGCAAGTACCTGCGTCTCAATGCTACTGATCGTGTCGTACACGAGGGCGAGCTCGAGATCATCGCCCACGGCAGCGAGGAAGTCGGCAGCGTTGTTATGCGTCTTGCGGTCGAGTACGACGTGTGCGCCGAGCTTCTGCAGCGACTCCCTGTGCGGCGCGCTGGCGTTGGTCACGATGTGCTCCAAGCCCGACAGGCGCGCGAGCTGCACCGTGTACTGGCCGACAGAGGAGCTGCCGCCGAGTACGACAATGGCCTTGCCCTTGCCCGCCGACCCGCCCTCGGCGTCCCACTGCGCGGGCAGCGCGGCACCGACCGTGTGGTAGAGGCCGATGGCGGCCGTGATGCCGGCGAGGCTGACGCCCGCGGCCTGCTCGTCCGAGATGTGAGCGGGCGTGTAGCCGACGACGGCGGCGGGCGTGCGCGCGTACTCCTGGAACGAGGCTGTGTCAAAGTCCCTGCTGCGGCCCTGGAAGAAGACGCGCTCGCCCACGGAGAAATTGGAGACGCCCGACCCTACGGCCGAGATGGTGCCAGCCGCGTCGGTGCCGAGAATGGCCGGCAGGTTGTCGCCAAGGAAGAGGTGCGGGGCGGCGCCCAGCTTCCAGTCAACGGGGTTGATGGCCGTCGCCGTGATCTTGACGGCGACCCCGTCGGCCTCGAGAGTGACCCTCTCGGGCGTGCGGCGAGGACCTCCAGCGGGCCGCCAGCGCGGGTCAGGATGGCGGCCTTGAAAGAAGCGGGGAGGGACATTCTGTATGGCTGGGTGGGATCTCAAGGGGGAATGGGTACTGTTGCATCAGTTGGGGTCACAGGGGTCACTAGCAAAACACAAAGAAGGCTCGCCCTTTATACCACCAGGCGCCCCCGTGCGTTCAAGCTGCGACAAGATACCGGCAGGCACTGTAGAACTAGTAAGGACGCGGCGTGCGGAGTCGGCCTAAATGGACGCCGATAAGAGTGGGCCGGATCTATAGCTCCGACCACTGAAGACTACCGATCCGGGGACTTATGTACCACGGCTCGGTGACAAAAACGTCGTTGATATGTCAGGTTGCGACATTAGAGCCTCAAGGTCGTTATTGAATATAATGTTGGACCCAGGCCTCTCTCTACCTTTTCTAAATCAAGCCATCCGCACTCTCACGTTCATAACCCCTTCTACAACACACCTCTGATCCCGCTCTACTGTTTCTCAACACAACTACCGACCATGGCTTCTACTACCCAGAAGTTCACCGTCTTCATTGCCGGCGCCTCAGGCGAGACGGGCAGCTCTATCGTAAGGCACCTTCTGCTGCAGCCCCAGCAGTTCGACGTTGTCGCCCTGGCCCGGCCCGAGTCGGTCAACAACAAGTTCTACACGAGCATCTCAGAGCAAGGAGTCAAGGTCATTCCCGTCAACGTCCGCGACGTCGACGCCCTCGTTAAGATCATCAGCGGCGGCGGCGACACGCCCGCCTCTTCGGCCATTGTCATCTCGTGCATGACGCTCACCGAGCTGCCGGGCGAGCTGGCCCTCGTCGAGGCCTCGCGCCGGGCGCGCGTGGGCCGCCACGTGCCGAGCTTCTTCGCTACCGTGTGCCCGCCGCGGGGCGTCATGGATGTGCGCACGGCCAAGGAGGACGTACTCGATACTATTAAGCGGGCCTATATGCCCTATACGGCGATCGACATTGGCTGGTGGGCTCAGTGGTGCCTGCCCCGCCTGCCGTCGGGCAAGCTCGACAGCGCCCTCGCGTTCCCCGTCTACGAGATTGTCGGTGCGGGCGACGTTCCCTGCGCCTTCACTGACGTCACCGACGTCGGCGCCTACGTGGTACGCATTATTTCGGACCCCCGCACCATCAACCGCCTCGTCTTTGCGTACGGCGATGTCCGCACGCAGACCGAGATCTGGGACATGTTTGAGCGCCTCTCAGGAGAGAAGATCCCGCGGCCCGTGCTGTCTCCCAAGGGCGTCGAGGAGGTCATTGCGAATGGCCGCGAGAAGTTCGCAAAGGACCCGACCAACTACGGCCCCCTCGCCGACAAGGGTATGGCCGAGTACAAGTACTCGTACGCCGTCCGGGGTGATAATACGCCCGAGCACGCCAAGTACCTCGGATACCTAGATGCTACGGAGCTATATCCTGATGTCAAGATCAAGACGGTTGAGGACTACGCACGCGAGGTCCTTGACGGTAAGAACCTCGGTGTGGTGTACGCGGGCAAGGATAACCACCCAATGAAATACATGTCGGTGCCGAAATACGAGTAGGGTGTAACGACCAGTCAACACGGGTCGCGCTGTCTAGGCTGCAGGTAGTACAAACAGGACAGAAGGTTGTAGAGCCGGGCCAGGGACAAGGGCAGGTTATATAGTAAGAAGGAAATAGGATTCTATAGTACAGCTATGCCAAGACCAATAGAGCAATATTTATGAGAGTAGACTGTCACGATCCTGCCTCCGGGGTCAACCGTAGGGCAGGGCGCTGGGGTTGCTGTTCTGGAAGATAGGTAAAGCCTTCGCAATACTCACTGACTCCTGCTGTCGTTTTCTCTCGATGGTTGTCGTGTCTCTTGGAAGAGATACCAGTCTCGGCAATTGAGTGACTAGTTCAAGTGTGTGGTGAAACTGATACTTAGATTGATCGCTGAAGTGCAAAGGTAATGACTGTCTATCTAGGGAATCCTTCGTTTTATATCTCTTGCGCCTTTGCCCTTCATCGTGCGCTGTTCTCTGCGCGTGCTGTGCTGCGTGTGCGGTGCCCTGCGTGCGCGGCGCATGGTGCTGTCAGTTCTCAGCGTGCGCTGGACAGATCCTTGGTCGCTTACGCAGTTCTCTGCATGCGCTGTGCAGTTCCCAGGTGGTGCTGTACTCCGTACAGCCCGTTGGTTCTTGGCACAGCTCCATCGGTCCTGGGACCGCTTGTCCTTGTCCTGGGACTACTGTGTTGCCCCGGGACCTGCTGACGTAATCTGGGGTGTTTCTTCCCGCGTGCATGATCTGCCCTTGTCCCTGGCCCAATCCTGCTGTGACAACCCGACCAACAGGTCGCAAGATCGGGCCAGGGACAAGGGCAGATCATGCACGCGGGGCAGCCACACCCCTGGTTACATAAGCGTCTCATTATGTCAGCAGGACCAGGAAGGATATGTTGGATCACAACATATCCAGACATATCCAGGATATGTTGGATCACAACATATCCAGGCATATCCAGGAACACGCGATGAAGGACAAAGGATATATAGAGCCAGGAGGATCTCCTTGTAAACAGTCATTACCTTTGTACTTCAGCGATCAATCTAAGTATCAGTTTCACCCACACTTGAACTAGTCACTCAATTGCCGAGACTGGTATCTCTTCCAAGAGACACGACAACCCCCAAAGAGAGAACGACAGCAGAGTTGAAAGTGTTATTGCACAGGCTTTACCTATCTTGCAGAACAGCAACCCCAGCGCCCTGCCAGATGGTTGACCCCGGAGATCGGATCGTGACACCGGAGACCAGATCGTGACACCTTTCTACGGCACTAGGGATAGCGCTAGAGAAGGAAGGGGATAATATAACGACCCGGAACTAATAGGGGATTATTTAGACTACGAGGTAGGATAAACAAGGCCGCAGTACCGGGCTATAAATAAGGGTAGGACTACGAAGGGCTAAGGGATAGTTATATAAGTAGGATCTTAGTTATTAGAGGAGAGGCCGACTCTTAGTAGTCGGCTTACCGATACTAGTATATCGGCTACCCGATAGGAAGTTATTAGCTATACGATAGGAGTCTATCGCACGACTAATATAACCTCGTCGGCCAGTATAAGGACTCGATAAAGGATAAAGGTATATAGTAGGAAGGATCTCCTTAACTAAGTAGTTTAGTCTTTATACTTTAACGATTAACGTAATCCACAAGTGAGTGAGCCACCTTCCAGGTACCCGTACGACAATATATAAGATAATTCAACCACAACGCCTTAAATCAATTGAAACTATGAGGAATCCTCTTCTTCAGAGTCAGATACAACTTTCTGACACGTACGAGCATTATGACCGGGCTCACCGCAGACGCCACATCGTCGCGCGCGCGTTTCTGGCCTCCTCGTACGACCACTATTTTGACTCGTTTCCGCTATTAACTGCTGCGTCGCATCGATTTGAGCCTTCAAATCCTTTGCCTGATCAATCGTGAGGGACCCTCCTTTCTGTAGCTGCTTTCTTTTCGTACGACGACGGCGGTTGAGGCGGTCGTTTGCATCTCGAAGTTCGGCGAGCTCTTGGCGCATAAGGTCCTGCTCGTGTACCATCATTATGACTCCTTTTCTTAGCTGCCGTACGCTCTTAACAATGGACGACGGTGAGCTATTCTGGTGTCGTACGATGCGATTTTCAATATACTTCGTCTGCGATTCGGTCTCAATTGGGTTGTTCGGCGTCTTTGAAACCCATAGGGGTGGTAGTCCAGTAGAGGAACCTAGCGGTGTCGGCGTATGAAACTTCACATCTAGCTGTGAAATCACATAATTCGGGTCGTACGGTACTAGGCCTGTCGCTCTGAAGCCTGCCTGGATGTTTGATTTGGTCATTGCAGCGTCGTACGCCTTATAAAAGGCTGGGAGGAAGTCCTCCTTTGAAACGTGGGTTACGTGCGCCCGCATTAGACCTTCGATTTCTTTACCGTACGCCCGTTTCAGAGGTCCAAAACACCAACATCGAGAGGCTGGAGCTTATGCGACGAATAAGTAGGCATATAGAGGGTAACAATATTCTGTTCTTTGTAGTAGAGCTCGAAATCGACGGAATGGTGGCTCTCGTGGCCGTCGAGGATAAGGAGGCGGTGGGTACCCTTCGTACGACTCTTCGTATGGAAATGTGTTTTACCCATTCTAGACCTCTCTCGTTCGTCGTCCAGCCGTTCTCTGAAAGCGCGATTACCCAGTCGGGCGGTAGAGGGCTATTCGCGGTCCAGGAGTCGAGGTGGACCTTCCCTGCGAAGATGATATATGGTGGGATCGAATAGCCGTACGACGCGATACCCTGGATTACTGTAACCCATTCCTGATTGCCTTGTTGTACGGCTCTTGGCCTCCCGCGTCGATCGGAGGTCGTAACGACAGTTTCGGCGGAGATCTTGCCCATCGCGAAGCCCGTTTCGTCGAAGTTGTAGATGTCGTCATCGTGGATCCCGTATTTCGCGATTATGTTTCGTACGAGCTCAAACCACGCGCGATACGCGTCTGGATCCTCACAGAGGACTCTCTGGTAGTCGATTCTTCGATTAAAACGCGTACGGAGCTCAGGTCGTCGTCGTACGAAGTTTGCAGCCCAGTTCGTTCCGACGCGTAGCGCGTCGCGTTCGCGGAGGAGTCGATCCGCCATTTCTCGAACACCACTAAGTCGCGGTGGAAACGATCGCGAATCAAGGTCGATTATGTATCGTACGATACTATCCTCTTCGTACGATGTCAATTTCTGGCAGGGTGGTCGGATATCGCCTTTCGCAGGTCGGCCGCTTCGTCGTCGTTGAAGTGTTGCACGGGACACATTATACAGCAATGCAGCTTGTCGTACACTTAATTCTGGGTCCGACTGAAGCGCATTAGGCGCTAGAATCAAATCGCTTTCAATTGATTGCCGTCCCATAATTATTGGTGGAGGAAAAGGAGAAAGAAGGTAGCCTGTACGGAAATGACGGAAAGTGGCTCACTCACTTGTGTGGCTCACTGACTTGTGGATTACGTTAATCTAAGTATTATTCTTACTATCACTTAACCCAGTCACTTAATTAACCGAGAGTAGTATCTCTTCTAAGAGATACGTAAACCCTAATATAAGAGAAACGACATTCGAATTAGTAATATTGCTCTAGCTTTACTCTCCTCGTAGAACAGTAATCTGGAGCTATGCTAAGAGCTAGAAGTCAAGACCGATGAGTAGACCATAAGCAAATATAGGTCGTGCTAGGAGGCATAGGGTAGTTGGCTGGAATCGGTTCCCTGAAAAGTGAAACAGTTTTACTAGAAGCCCAAAATTGTCCATCACCTTCTCATCGGGTCGTTGACGTTAGCCATTCTGAGTTACAAGTTTGTGTCAACGGCCCAATAACGGCGCCAAACTGAACCTTTTATCTTAGTTGGATATGTCAACATACACGTTCGCTGGATGGCGAATACTCGCTCCTCTGAAAACCAGACGCACCGTCGTCAGGCTGTGAACTATCGCAACAGCCCGCGTCAATATCGTTTACTTCTATGACAAGAAAAACCCGGCAGACGGCAGACATCTCGCCGTCGAGTGGACTCGGGTTAAACTCCTGGCCATTGACAAGTAACTGATCGAGTTTTCGTGGCTACGAAGAAAGACCTATCATAGTGGCTATTTCACAAAAGTCAGAGGGCCGAACGATCGGGAGTGCATACTTAAGGCGCCTTCTCGTACTCGAGGACCTAACACTAACGCAGGACGAATATGGACGAGTGCCATAGCAAGTAATCTCACGGATGGGAAAGAGAGGTGTGGGGGCCTTACAGTAGTAAGGTTGAGCGGCCATCTTCCGAAGTAAACAGAGTTTACCAAGAGAGTACCCTAGTGCGCTTCGAACCCCTTGTAGAGGCGAGCAAGTACCATTTCGGCAGGGGTCTGTTGCCTTGGAGCAAGTACGTACTTTCTCCAAGCCCTTCCAAAGATTCGTGGTCGTATTTGCAAGTAGAGACTGATGAGGAGAAGCAACCTCTTGAGAAGGAATTGTGACCAGTCGTGACCGTAGTGAGCACACTTAGTGGCCACCACTGTAGTGATTCGCTGGCATTGCAAGCCATATTCACGAAGGGCGACCGCGACCGTTTCCTTTCTGTAAAGGAGAACTAAGCACTGCAAAACTTGCAGGGAAACCTGCCCAATCCCAAGAGACTCCAGTCAGCGCGAATTAACCACACCATTCTCGCCGTATTCTATATAGCATCACGCGTACGGAAGTCCAAGCTTCGGGACTATTGCTCATATGCCTTCGACAGAGTTCGACATTGCAAGTCAATTTTAGAACAACGTAATGTTCCGCAGCCAGCCGGACTGTAGTAACCGGTAGATAATCACTCGATACCCGCGCCGAAGCACGTGCGCCCGTCACTGAGCCGGAATAAACAGTCTTTGTAATGCTTGGAAATTCTACTCAGCCCGCAAAAGACTTACCAATCATCATAGGACAGGCGGTCACTCGTGCCAACATCCCTGTGGGCACCCATCTATTGCCCGGCGCAAGCTCGATTCTCCACACATGGTGGCGCTACTACGACGAGATTTCCCTGAGCGCATGCAACAAGGACCAATAAGAGCCAGAGATCTTCGAGCATTGGCCAGCGTCGCATCCCCGCTTGACAAGATGCGATGTTGCATTGCCGTTGAAACTCACCAGGCAACCTCATAAGTGCCTGTCTCGGTAAGCATGTGTATATCATCACTGTGGTACCTGGCTCAAGAAGACGGCCCACCCTGGGAGCTGGACTGCACTGGGGTCTAAGCTCAATGTATGGAGCTGCAATGCTATGCTCATTAGGTACTGTTAGATGCCGTTGACAATTACCAAGCAATTGGAAATCCAACTTTGTCAGCATGCATGAATTATTACTGGGGGGGTTAACTAAGGGGGAGACCCACTCTGCTCTATTAGCTAAGCTGGACAGGGTCACAGTCTGGATGGACGGCGAGCTGCAACGTCAAGCGCGTTGGATGGGCATGGAAAGAAAAAAACATAAAGGTGAGGAGTTGCAACGTTTGAGCCATCAATGTTCGTCACCTCGGACCACGCTTCGACAGTTACACATTGTGTCTCAGTTTCCAACACAGTCTCTTCTCAATCAAGTAGCCATGAAGTTCTCGGTTTCGACACTCCTCCTGCCCCTTGCGGCGCTCGCCACAGCCTGGGAGCAGGTTGACAAGAACAATTCAGTGGGTTGATTCCCCGGTTTCTGATCCGTCTGTTGGCGCGGCTAACATAATTCCACCTGCAGATTGTAGCCGTTGTCGACGTGCAGGTCGGCCTGCTGTCCCTGATCCACGACATCGATCCAGTGAATTACCGAAATTCGATCCTAGCCCACGCCGATCTGGCTAGGGTGTTCGATCTACCCGTCGTCCTGACCACGTCTAGCCAGTCTGGTACGTTCCTAACTTTAGAATGATTCTCCCCTCCACCGCTGAGCACTTTCTCTAACAAGCTACTAGGCCCTAATGGTCCTATGTCCCACGAGATCACCAACATGTTCCCCGACGTCCAGGTTGTTCAGCGCCACGGCGAGATTAACGCTTGGGACAATGCCGAGTTTCGCGAGGCCATTGAGAAGTCGGGAAGGAAGCAGGTCATCATTGCCGGCGTTACGACGGATGTTTGTAAGTGCTTGACCATCTTGCCGGCTGCGGCCGGCCAGGTCGACCCTACTTGATTTACCAATCGGCACGGAAAACAAATCCCCAGATAAGCCAGTGACCGCGATGAGCCCTGGAATTTGCCATCTTCCCCCCTTTACACTCCCACAACTATGAAACTTGCTACAGACTCAAATGCTAACCTTAGCACCGCGTTATTGCAAACAGGTACGACTTTCCTCGCCCTATCTCTCCGCGAGGCTGGGTACAGTGTGTGGGCTAACGTTGAGGCCTCGGGCACGACGTCGGAACTCGTGCGCACGCTTGCTAACGAGCGCATGGTACGCGCGGGCGTCAATGTCGTGTCGTGGTTCTCTATTGCCGCCGACCTGCTGCGCGACTGGCGCTCGCCCGACGCGCCCAAGATGATCCCCTACTTCGACCGCTGGCTCCCCTCGTTCGGCGCCGTCGCGCGCGCACATATCGGCGCTATACAGAACGGAACCGTGTCTCCGGGCCAAGATGAGTTGTAGGTGGGCAGAGAGACAAGAGAACAGGTCTGAGGGGCGTGGAGAAAAGAAGAACACGTGTTAAGGGCTCGAGATGGGCGGAAGGAGAGGCGTGGAGAAAAGAGGAACAGGTGCTAAGGGTGCGGGATGGGCGGATGGAGAGGCGTGGAAAGAGATCGGATCCAAGGTTGCAGCCGACTTAATGGCTGCCAGCAGACTTCTCGCGATTCTGGGATGTGGGATACTTTCAATTCTTGCTTGAGATATTTTTAGATTAGTTATTAGGGTCAAATTGCATATGATTTAGACCTACAATCTGAGACGAACAACATATATGGACTTGAATCTTATGACATTCTAAATAATTAGTAGTCCCCTTTCATCAGAGCACTTTGAAGATTCAGGTTCCCTTGCGACTTCCCGTCAGAATATTTGTAAAGAGTAATGTGGCCCGCCGGCCTAGCGGCCCACATCAGCGAAATCATCGGATATGTACGAAAGGTCCCATCATCAAACAGCGGGCCACTGCCGCAAAAAGAAAACTTGTAATATGCAAAAAGACATGGACTAACAGGGAGTTGAACCCTGTACCTTTCGCAGGTGAGTTTGTTCAGAGAAATCCTAGGCAGGAGCCCGGACGGTGAAGCGAATGCAAAGCGAACGCTCTACCAAATGAGCTATTAGCCCGTTAACTATGCAAAGGCGGTGTGGGGACACCACCATACGTCCAAACAGATGCATGGTTTGCTGCATGAGACAGTGGATCTCGATTACATGGCTTCGCTCTACTTCAAGGCCTATATGTCCGTATTCTATGCCTCAAGGTGACAGCCTCCCGAGAAGCCTCGGGGGCTTGCGAGAACCCAGTGTCGTGAAATTTTGAAGCTCGGCATAATTTCAGACTGACAGCTTGCCCCAAGCCCCCTGACGAGACTTTCCTAATCTTGATTTAGGTGATGTATCATGGAGTCGTACGCCATGCTGAAGGTAGTAGATCGTCATCGGAGGCATGTGAGCCTTGAAACGTTCGAACCAGGCATACGAACGGTGCTGCATCCCTACGTCCTCCTTCAAGAATTGCTGGCTATGGTGGGTTCGTGACCGCTGGAAGCTGGTGGACGTCGCTCCTCCATCTTGCCACATATGTGACACCGCCAGTGTGAGCTCTTCGTACACCATCCAATCATCATCACGACCCATTCTCGCTTTTGCCGTCTAACCCCAAAATCCACCGTATATCGTAGGACTACCGTTTGCGAATGTGAAGTGATGGGCTACTAGTGAAACTCGTGAAAGTTCTGCATGTCTAGACGATAAGGAGACGTTGAACTACCGAGTGCTAATAGGGCACTCAGGGTGGTATTCACCACAAGATGCATCGCATCCTAAGTGCACGGCCTGAAGGGGTACAAGCTGGCTTCTGTGATCACTCAACTACCTACTTAGGTACCCTACATGCTCGATATTCTTTTAACAGCCCCGAACATTGCCGAATGTTCTTGCTCCGCCGTCAACACCCGACAGCTTTCGCGAAGATGACTGCATAAGCATCTCGGCATCCGGCATCCGCGGTTTCATATGCTTGGGACACTGACAACTTCCTGGCAGTCTCATCAAACGAGGACTGCATGCTACATCGTAAAACCTAAACCAAATGACGACCTGTGCCAAGAGTTGCCGTTATGCTCAAGCTCCACGCGAACCTTTAGAGAGCCACGTCGGTAGCGGTAGCTCTTCTCCGGTCAACTCGCCGCTACCTAGCCCTGCTATCAGCGTGATAAACAGCTTAGCCAGTTGGCTCTAAGACAAGCTCGTGATATACGGCGTGGCTGAAGTTGATGACACATCTTTCCCAACTCACCACTTTGCCACCACCTCGAGCACATCAACTCCGTCCTAAGACGATCACGTCTGTATGATCTCTAGATTAGTCTGGAGCGGGCCCTCTCAGTAGTGGTTTTCAAGAAGCTTTGTATGTAGCGCTCATCCGTCAGATCGTGGCCTGGATTAGGTTTATGCTGATATCGGTGCTCACCCTTATGGCTTTTCAGACTTCGTCCGCCCCTTTCGGATCGTGTCAATGGTACTCGATAATATCTTCCGCCGAGGGTCTTACTATACGCCGCAATACTCGTTAGGTTGTGTAAGCTAGTATGAGGAACCTAAGCTGGTCTAAGTCATCTCTAGGTAGAGTAGAACAAAGTAAGCGCGCGTGTTATAAGCTAACTATGCGGTAAGGACTCCTAGCTGCGCGAAACTATCGACTAGGCTTATGAACGAGTCGCGGCCCGCACTCGCGCGGGTGACTATTCGCGTTGGCCCCACTTACGTGGCTTGTAGAGGTTGTAGGTCTTAGGAATCGCACCAGTATTAGCCTCTAAGCCAACGATGATCTCTGAATGTCGCTCGTCCAATAATTATAGGTTCTCATTAGAGGCAACGAAGTGAATCATTGGCCTGATCTTGGATGCCTGGCATACCGGAGGGGCGAGAATAACCGTTTCCGAATATAATAGTCCCAGTCACCTCCGCATCCGATGCAGCGGCTTGCATCCAAAAATGACTACATTCTACCCCTGTAGCGCTTGTAGCGCCGGGAACCACCCCCAGCTTGCGCATGCAGCATGTGGCGCAAGAGCCATTATCGGCCTATGAGATGTCGTGCTCGAGACATACTGCATAGGCGCGCGTAATAGGCCAGGGTCTCATTTTGGGCTGGGCCACATTTTCGTTGCAGGCAGTGAAATGCGGTCATGTACTCTTAAGTTCCAGGTGTTAGCATCGCTGACTAATGCCAGTTTCGCCTTGAGCAGCCCCTTAGCGACCTGAGCAGCCCCTAAGCGACCTAAGCAGTATCTAAGCTCCGTTCAACAACGCCCCAATAGAATCGAGCAGTTTTGGGCAACTAAGCACTGAGTAATAACGACCATGCACCGTCGCGCTGTCTAGACTTTGATCGGCAAGATCAGATAAGATTCTTAAGTTCGAGCTGCTCCATTATCAAGGCGGTATCTGACGCAGTTGGTGCTCGCCAATGGCTACACCTACAACCTGCTCCAGAGACTCGGTAGAGACGTGTTCAGAACAGACGGGTCACCGGAGCTCGGCCTTGACTCCCGCAACTCAGACGCGGTTGTCCTTATTGTTATGCGAGCTTACCTTCGCGACCCTGCCCGGCTCACCAAGGTCCAGCGGCGACTCATCGATGCGAATGTGGTTCGTCGCAGCCGTCTCAAGTACGCCGGCAGAATAACCCGAAAGGCAACAGAGAGGCAATCTCAAGCAATAGATCAGACACAAAATCGACCTATGCCCGAGAACATGGCGACGACCCAGCAAAGCTTACCGAACGAGGCATCCGAAACTCTGGGCCCTCCAAAGTCGACCCTGAGCCCGTCAAGGTCAGGAGGACCAGCCATCACCAAGCAAAACAACGAAGAGAGGAAGCCTACCTCGAGCTATATCATGCAGCCGGCCACCGAGATGGGGTCGATATTCAGCATCACAGGGGCTCTTATCCCCCCAAGGACGAACAGATCTGCCGCCACAAAGATGTCCGCGAGAGTTGGTCATCTCGACTACCCCAAGTGTCCAGCTGAGCATGGGCAGTTTCCCTGTCCGTACTGTCCCATTATTCTGTCGGACGACTACACTCGGCGAGACAAATGGAGGTTTGTTATCTCTCTGTGGACAGAATAAGCACTCCCTGGAACACTCTGTACTAACGTGCTCCAAACAAGGGCTCATGTTGCGCAAGATTTATCAGCCTACGTATGCGTTTTCGAAAACTGCGACTCACCGGACGAGATGTTCCCCACCACACTCGAGTGGATGTCGCATATGGCGCGTTATCACTCCCAGGTTGAGTGGACGTGTACCCTGTGTGCCAAAAACGATGAACCGCGAGGTGCTTCTGCATACACGTTTGATCGTGCAGAGGAATTGGAGGCCCATCTGCTCAGTCACCACCACTTAGTCACTGGTGCCGACTTGGGCCTAATCGTGGAAGCCGGGAAGCACACCGTCGGAATCCAGCAGGTGGCGTGTCCGCTATGTCGCCTCGGCCTGGTGTCGAGCGAGTTCGAGGCCGAGGACGAAGCTGCCGACCACGGGCAGGAGACGGGCCTCCTCCAGCTCGAAGACGACGAGCACGTGGCGACACACATTCACGAATTTGCACTACAAGCATTTCCGCCACCAGACACCGCCTCCGACAACATGGACTATGCAGCCTTGTGCCAGCTCCTAGGCGGAACAATCTTCTCGGAAGAGGACCGCGGAAACCCGAGTGAAGTCGAAACTCGGTATACGAAACAAGTCATCCCCCCCCCTGGGTCAACCTCACAAACAGCAGCCACAGCGGCACACACAACATCGTTCAAGTACAAGCAGGCACTCGCCATGCAGGAGGAGACCCGCAGAGCGCTCAAGTTTGAGAAGACCGAGTCGGACCTCTCGTCCCTCGCGTTGCGACAAACCACCGCCCCCAGCACCTCAAAGCTCAGTGCGGCAGGAAAACTCCAACATGTCCTCTCATACTTTGGGACCAAGAACCCGTTCGCTCGCACCATTGGCGGAGACGACACGGTCTGGCTTCTTGACAACACCGCTTACCGCAACGCCAAGACTGGCAAGTGGGAGACCGAATATGTTGCGGCCATGTTCTCGCAACACTCGTCCTGTGCTATCATCGATGCCGTAAACCTCGTCGCACAGCAGATCGAGCTACAGGAGAGTGATGACGGATACCCCACCTTACAGGAGCGGCTGATGCCTTTCATCCAGGACATCCGGCCTGGAACCACAGTTCGTGTTCTGCACGGTGGCCAGCCGCCACTAATCAAGCTTAGACCTAGCCGGGGGAATGGCATTAGCGCAAACATCAAGCAGATCCCCGACAGCACGAATGGGCACATTACCACAACTTTTGCCAAGGTGCCCAAAGGCGCCAATGGCATTCTGGAGTGCAGGACCTTTTATGCGGAGCCCGAAGGCTGGGGCGTCATCTCTAATGTGGACGATACTATCAAGATCACCCAGACTAGCGATCCGATCGGCATCCTGCGTAGCACCTTTGTCGACACGCCTCAAGTCTGCCCCGGCATGCCGGAGCTCTATCAGCGGATACAGGGTATTATCAAGGAGACGTCGCCTTGGTTTTATCTTTCTGCCTCGCCCTATAATCTGTACCCGTTCCTTCGAGACTTCCGCCAGCACAACTTCCCGCACGGCACCATCATTCTTCGCGACTCTAGCTGGATGAGCATTCCTGGTTTACTGCAGACGTTGACCTTAGGCACGGAAGACTACAAAGTCGACCGCATGGAGAAAATCCACTCATGGTTGCCGAAGCGCAAGATGATCTGCATTAGTGACTCCACACAATCAGACCCGGAGGCTTACGGCGAAATGTGAGTAGACCTGCGTTCCGTGATCTTCTTGAGAGACCTGTGACTGACAGTTGTCGATCAGTTATCGCAAATACCCTGGCTGGGTCAGGCTCATACTCATCCGCAAGGTTGAGGACATTGCCGCTATTGGCATCGAGGGCAAGAACGAACCGAAACGCTTCGAGGACGCGTTCAAGGACGTGCCGCGGGATGCATGGCACGTCTTCCATAGCCCGACAGAGTGTGATGAGCTCATCCAGCGTGTTGTTGCAAAGGATCCTTGAGCTGGGACTCGTTGAGGACATGACTTTACGACCACAGACTACTTTTCTCGCGATCGGGATTGCGGCCGTGCGTCTGCGTTTCACTGTTGTTTCGGACATTAACGTGTGGGCATGCTCTTTCAGACTTTGTATAAGCTTATTTGTTGATACCACGTAATGATATTTCAACATGCATGCTGTGGCTCGGTCTTGATCGAGCCGATAAGAGTGTTCTCTCAAACGATTCTGCTATTTACTTGTGGCCATTAAACAACACCACAAATCCTTTATGCGTGCGATTGACCCTCAACTTCTGCAATCAGCCAGGACGACTTGCCTTGATATCATCTCAAGATCACCACCACCTCAATCCTCACCAACGTCGCGCAAATCTACCTCAAGGAGCAGAAGCTCAACCCCGGCGTCAGGTGAACCGTGAAGCTCGGTAAGGCATGGAGGCTAGGCAGCACCAGTCGCACCAACTTCGCCGAGACCTTCGACGCATTCAGTGGCAACAAGAACTTTGCCGACATGGAACTCAACAGCGTGGTCTGGCTCGAGACCAGTCTTCCCGAGCCAACGAGACCAAGCGTCGCCGTGCCTCTGACCGCTTGAGGGACGCAATTCTTGGTGACTCACCCCCTCCCCAGCCCAAGAACAAGCAGCCCTGGCACATGTCTCCCACGCCAGCCAGCCCAACCCCCGCTGGTCAAGATCCTGGTGATGGTGATATGGCGGCTGCAACCCCTGTTCTGGGTGATCAAAGTCTTGGTAATCATGGTCTTGGCGCCCAGGGTCCTGATGATCAGGGTCCTGATGATCAGGGCCCTGATGGTCAGGGTCTTGGTGAGCAGGTTCCCGGGCTGGGTCTGGCTAGGTCTTGGCATCAGTCTCGATGGTCACGGTCGTGGCCATGGTCCGAACTTGGGCTTCACTGGTCCTCCTGGTGCTAGTCGTGGTTCAGCTCAAGGTAGTGCTAGATCTCGACCGCCGTAGGCGCTGCCTAGCTTTCCTCGATATCTGGCCAGTTGCGACTCGACACGATCCACTTTGCGTGAGATGAGGCGGACACGCGAATGGTTCCATATCAGACTCGAATGCCGGACAAACGATAGGTCAAAGAGCGGAGAGACGCCCTACATCCTAGACCCCATCTTAGTAGCGAACCATTCTGGAACCAGCGTTGCAATCTCTGTAGGCAGCCGGCCAAATTGTCTGCGACGCAGAAACACGTCCACCTCATCGACGTCCATACACTAGGCGGACTTGGCTTCAATACTTCGGGAAAGAACGGCGTGACTATGAAGGATATCCTCGAGGATCCAGCTATCCCCAAAGTCTTCTTCGACGTCCGTAGCGGCGCTGACGCGTTGTACGCTCACTTCAACATTGCCCTCCAGGGAGTCGAGGATGTGCAACTGATGGAGAATGTTGCGCGACGAAGGGCCATCCAAGAGATTTCTCACGGCCTCGCTAAATGCGTCGAGCCTCACGGTAGTGACAGAGCGCTTGGCCCGTGGCGGGATAACGAGACTGTCAATGGGAGCTTTGGGACCAATACGACAGCTTGCCCGTTAAGGCCAAACTACATTAACGTTACTCCTGACTCGTGAGGTCACTAATAAAACTTGGGCACTAACAGTAGGTGCCAAGCAAAAATAATAAAGGAGGAGGTGATTAAGAGCTCTCCGGTTTTGTCCCGGGCGTAATAGACTCCAAGTGTGTATGTCTCGTGCTAACATTCGCTTGATACTCCCTACAGTAACTAGGTGTATCTCCCCTAACAGCAAAGTTGCTATTCCTCTAGTTGGGGTTGCGATAGACACTCCTTGACTATTCCCTTTCTATTCTCATTATTTTCCCGTCTTTCTCTCACAGAAGACATCCACCCTTACAATCAATATGTCGGAGACAGATAAAATAAAAAAAGGCTCGAAGCGGGCGTTGCTGATCGGTTCACCGGTTGGGGCGCTCACAGGGCCGGCAACGGACCTTGACCTAATGGGTTGCATCCTTAAACAGTACGATTTCTGCCTCACACGACGCTCCGTCGAACGAGAAGCTTAATATCCTACTACAAGAAAGGGCATTCTCGCAGCATGGGATCACCGTATCGGGCAATCGTCACCGGGTAGACTCATCCCACCAGCGCCTTTCGTGGGAGAGTGCTCTTAGGATGATGGAAGGCTCCGCGAATGCCGTTACCTAGTAACGGCAGCCGTCCTTGATGGAGTAGCGGTATAAAATAATGCGTGCGATATGAGGGTCAGCCGTGGAGGTTTTGGAAATGGTGGAGGCACCTGGGCCGAATTCAATCCAGGGCGAGAGGGTGATAATGCTGGAGTCCAAAATACCAATGACGGCACCGTACTCATACGTGGTTGAGCGTGTAAAGAACGAACTCATCGACTCAAAGGTCTTAGGGAAAGCAATGCGGGCGAAACCCTACCAGCCTGGGTTGAAACCGCTGACACGATCGAGAGAGCGGCGCGGGTTCCGGAGAAGGCCTCGAGGTAGTAGCCAGGACATTCGTGAGGATGCTATAGGAAGAACCAATAAAGGTAGCAGCGGTGCAAGCGCCGCCAGTTACAAGTAGAACGCCACCATCACGCCATTACTGCCGCCACCGCTGAGGAGGGGCCAGCCAGGATTTTAAGCCGAGATGTACTCCGCCCAGGGCGCGTGGCGCACGCCTTCACTGACCCGATGCGCGACATGGCACCAGGCATCACCCACAAGGTCGATCGTCACCCAGACCCATCCTGTCCAGCGCTGGAGCTCCAGGTAACTATTGCAAAGTATCCCGGATGGGCCACAGATAGTATAGACCAGGCTTCACCAACTCGATATATGGATGCCGTCGATGCATAAATGCAGTACTGTACTAGGCAGGTCAATGCAGGCCTTGGAAGCATGGAGCCCAGTCTTGAGCCCAGTCTTGTACATATTAATGCAACACTACATCGTGAAGTATCCTCGTATATTTGGGGATGAGAATTTATCTCCTCAGGATTCAAGTCATTCAGTAGTTAGGCTCACACCTCCCAGAAATCAAATGATTACATAACGTAGCGCATAAGGTACGACTCTTATGCCGGCTGCAAGGGCGACTGTATTACCTAAGGATGTGCGCCGCTAGAAAAATGCACTGTTTGCGACCTTAGAACGGAATGTAACGTTGGGCTAAAACGGACGACCATAACGGACTGCACATAACGGTATGCTCGTGTCGAAAATAACCCTCGAAGTGGGGCGGCCTGGGAACATCAGAAATGTGGCGCGGTCAATCTGCCAAGACATGGCGAGGGAAAGTGTCTCCCGTTTATGGACCCCATATCTTCCGGAGATGGATGTCACTTACCTATATACACAAGACCTATGACCGTCAGACTAGTAGTTGGGTCGGTGACGACCAGCGAATCCCTGATGTTGTACGTTTTTGTTTTTTGTATAGCACGAATGCAGTCACAATTTCTTTCTATTATAGCTTGATGAATGCACCTTGTCTCCGCTCGGTGACCAGTTCCTTAGATTTAGTCGGAGTTTGATATCAATGGTACGTCTCATCGTATCCGTCCTCCAGGGAGAACGAGCCACGTCAATCGTCCGTTCTGACATTGACAAGTCCTGAGATATGAACTGCGTTTATTCTATGATAGGGCACGTTTTACTCAGTCCGTGCCCCTAGGGACAGGCGCCGCCCTATACGGGCAGTAGACTCTCCCCATCAGATATAATTTCTCAACTCCTAGGAACGCCTGGTTAAGGACTCATAAGTCTGAAGGCAAAGGATTTCTTTGAACCTACCCGCAACTTCTCCAATGAAACATCACGAGAATCACCACGTGGACTGAGGAACGCTGTGACCAAGTCTCTCTTCCCGTCCTGCACCTTTCGGACATACTACAGAATCGATTAGCATATGTCACTGTCTGCCTATGAAAAACTATTTCAGATTCACCTGCTCGATGGTGTCCTCCATCACATATCTGATCATAGTCGTTTCTTGCACCTGTGTTATGCGGTGAACGCGTGCGAATGCTTGGTCCTCGATAGCAGGATTCCATTGTGGCTCCATGAGATATGCTCTTGAGGCGGCTGTTAGAGTCAACCTAGTTACAAATACAGATGGAAAGTTAGCAAGTCGAGGCGCAGCCAACAAAAACCATACGTGGCTAAAATTATCCTACCCTAGAGCACCACACGAAAGCGAAAGCAAAAGAACTTGGATCTCGTTCGGGGCGGAAAACGTTTCGAGGATTTTGGCCCGCTCTTTCGACTTGACCGAGCCGTCTATTTGCAGACAATGTATCCCAGATCGGTCGAAAGATGTTCTGGCAATGTCTAGCGTCGCTTTCCAGAATGAGAAAACGACACTGCTGTTTCATTAGCCGTGGATTCCTAAATTGATCATCCGATCTTACCTTTTCGTTCCTGGCATTTGTTTCTGGAGATCGTCCACCAGGGCGCGGATCTTGCTAGGGGTGTCATGGTAGCCGATCGATTCTCCCGTGACCTCGAATGAAAGACTAGCGGCCGGCTCTGACACCGCAGCTGGCGCGACCACGCAAGGCGTCGGACATGCACAGATCCTGGGCCCGCAGGAAGTTTCGCCATCAAGCTCCACCTCGTAGCATGACTTGCACCAAGCACGCAAACATTGCGTGAGATAAAGAACAGCTTGGCCTGCGTTTTCGTCTGCCAAGGTCAAAATGGGCGTACTGCACTCTGCACAGACCGTGTGCAGTCCAAGATCCAGCATTTGTGAGAAGGCCTTTGTTGCGGCGTATTGGTCCCAGTCATTCTCTCTGAGTGGACTTCGCGCAGTTGGGGTTACCGAGATCGGGGTATTGGAACGTCCAAAAGCGCAAATTTGTCGAAGTACATCAATCTTCTGGAGGATGTTTCGGTACGAGTTACTCGATGCGATGAGACTCAATGCACTGTCAATAGTTGACAGTGCTCTGTCCTTAGCTTCGTTGTACAGTTGAGCCTCGCGCTCGTTGAGACGCACTGAGACGAGAAGCTCCGTCTTGTCCGGTAATGGCAGCTCCTTGGATCGGCGAAGCATCATAGCAGACAACAGTCTTTTCACTCTAGTGACTGCCAGTTGTTCATGGCCTTGGCCCTGACGGACCAAGTCAGAAATACGACTGAGGAAGACATCCTTTTTGTTGTACGGACTCGCGCCGATAAATTTGAGCAGTGGGAACAAGTCGAGAAGTCGATTGGTTATTGGCGTGCCCGTTACGGCCCATCTGTTTCGAGCCATGATATCACACGCCGCACGAGCGGTCACAGCTTGCGGGTTCTTGATGCTGTGCGCTATTGATGTAGTCAGCCATCAGATTCTACACTCCTCGGTACTTGTCTGACCCATGAGTCGTATACCTTCATCTAGAATCACACGATGCCACCTCGTTTGGAACAGTATACTCGTGCTCTTGCAAGTTGTCCAGTCTCGTGCAAGGGTTGGGTAAGAAACAAGCAAGACATCGATTGATCTCAATCCAGCTGCCTTTTTCAATCTTTTCGAACCATTCTCAAGGTGCCATCGTACCGACCCTGGTTTGGTATGTCTGACCGAGCTGTTAGCAAGTTGAGTTGTATAGAGTCATAACCGCGATAGCACTAACTTGGTGAGCTCCTTGTGCCAGTATCCCAAGACTATGATGTTATGTCAGAAGTCGGGTTGGGCCCAAAGTAGGAATGAACATGGAAACTTACGGTTCGCCGGGACAACAATCATTGTAGTATATGGAGAGACGCTGTAGCCTTGTGAAGTATTGGCAACCTCCGACAACTCATGAGCAATGAGTGAAATCATTGTCAGTGTTTTGCCATACCCCATAGTGTCGGCAATTATGCCGCCGTGGCATGGCGCCGGCGGCAGATTCTGGGTTGAGCCGTCCACATTATTGACGTATCCGCTTGTGGAAGTGTTAGTAGCTACTTCCAAGGTCAACCCGCCGATTTTCCCTGAGCTCACCAGAACTGATTGTCACGGGTTGTGGCGATCGACCAGACGTCCTCAGCATGAGGCTCGAATCGCCAGCCGCCTTCTCGGGCGAGCATGAAGCTCAAAGCTTGTTTTTGGTGTCTAAAGCGGGGATGTCAGAGATGAAGAAGTACCAGGAGTGGCGGATAATGGACCTACAATTTCAATGACGTAGTAATGAGGTTGGTGCACTCTGTCTCCTCGAGCGAGGAACCGGTTGTGAAACCATCAAGGATATTTTTCGGTTCAATGATGCTGGTAGTAACATCGGGACAATCATGTTGTGGGTGGAAGATACCATGAGTTGTTTTCAAATATGGTTCGTTGAAGAGTGATTGTGGGTTGTGGTATAGTGCATCCAAACGGGGCTGGATCGGAAGCTGTAAGTACAACTCCTGTGCGGATAGTACGTCCACTAGTGGTGGTATATGTGTGCGTAGCCCATACAAGATCGCTCTGAGAGCCAAATCGCTGGATGTACCATATTTTGGGGAGGATCCTGGTTGCTGGCCGAGCGACATTTGCAGTTGTAAACCCTCCCGTTCCAATAAATTCAGTAGGGAATGATGACGTTTGTCGATCCGACCGATCATCCGATTAGGATCCGATATACTCGATACGTGCCCGTCGGCTCCAAGTCGTACGTCAGTGTCTTCCAGATCACTCGACTTCTCAGCTCCGAGCATCGAGATATTGAGGTAAAGCTGGTGTTGTCGACGTTAGCAGAGGAAAGCTCACATCCACATTTCATAACACAAACAGACCATTCCAAAACAAATCAACGAGGAACTGTGCTCTCTCTCGTTCAAATCATTGCACGGCTGGGCCCCGATTCCATGACCATCGGTCATAGCTGCGAGGCAATAGCCTGCCACTGCGTAGTTCCTGGAGTCGAGATCTAATGTTGGCTCGGAATTGTACAGACGGTATAAGCACGGTGGTCGTAAAACTGAGCACTTTGACATGCCCCAGGTCACCTAGGTATCAATTACCAGCTGCTTGCGGAGGACAATTTTCTCAAGGTAAGGCTATGTAAAAAAGAAAAAGAAAAGAAAGGTGTGGTCCATGCCATGCAGCACTGCCACACACAGAACGCAGGTGCGTGGCTGAGCGTCATGCACCCAGCCACCCTTGGCACCAAGGCGTACTTCCAGCATTGCAGGCACGCCTGATAAGGCTTAATGGCGGTATGGCAGCCTGGGAGACAACACCCTCTCTCAGCCATTGTTTTGTTTTCTCCTCTCTATTACCTGCGGAACCTTTGCACTCACGTGTGAGTCAATGCGAGCAACAATGGCAGAACGGCTTATACGGAAGGCGTGCGATCGCTTCCGCGCTGAGTTGACCCCCGATCAGGTGCAACAAATCCAGTCTCTCGGGAGGCTCGATGACATCAAGCATGCGCTCCACCAAGTAGAGCGTGAGCTTACTGCTCGACAAGCATTGCGCGGTTTTGGTCGTCTAGCACCGTTCATCAATGCTCTTGAGCACTATGCCAAGGCCATCGAAGTCGCGTGTAATGGCACGCCATTCATGCCATGGATATGGGTGAGTCTGGAAAACATGAGAGTTCCAAATTGTGACCAGATCCTAATTTGGCAGCAGGCACCCATAAAGCTGGTGATTCTGGTGAGCGATTCGCAGTCCCTGCTTCATTGCCACCTCTGACCAGCACTAGGCAATCCAGGAGTCAACCAGCTGTTTGGATAAGATGCTTTCCGCGTACGCAAAGATTGGACAGCGCATGCCCCGCTTCGCGCGATATGCTGGCGTTTTCCCGAACGATTCTGCTTTCCAGCACCTGTTAGCTTGCCTGTTTGAAGACATCGTCGAGTTCCATCGTAAATCATTTGAGCTGATTCGGCGCCCAGGTGATTACTCGAGCGCCTCCCCATGCAATCTTGGCCAAGCTAATCGACAATGCAGGATGGAAACTGTTTTTCGCCCCACTCTGGGGCAGATTTCATTCACGATTTGATGAATTGCTTGACAACATATCGTTCATCAGCGATGAGATCGACCGGGAGGCGATATCGATTGATATCGTGCAAACGCAAGACAGCCGCCAGAAGGAACAAGATGAAAACCTCCGACGCGAAGAACGTTTACAAGCCGAGCAGGTAGCTGCCGTGATGGGCTGGCTGGCTTCAGATATCATTGAACAGGAGGACAGATTGGAGTGGCTCCGGGGTCGCTGCCATGATGGGACCTCATGTTGGATCACGAACCACAAAGAGTTCAGATCCTGGCTGCAACTTGGTCGGGGAAGGCCTGTTCTCTGGCTCAACGGAAAACCTGGATCTGGTCAGTGCTAGAGATTCGCAATGACTGGTACCAAGACTCCAGCTAATGATACCAATGCACAGGCAAATCGGTAATCAGCGCCAGTGTGGTGGCTTTTCTCAGAAACGCCAAACGCAGGGTGGCGTACTACATCTGCAACTATCAAACGCCCCCAACAAACATCACCGCACATATCCTCCGTTCCATTTGCGCCCAGGTCATCACGATGATGCCAGAGTTTATTCCTTACACGTTTGATGAGTGTATCGCCAACGGACAAGCACCATCTGCAACCTGTTTAAGCGAGTTGTTGTGCACCTTCCTGGGCCAGGTGACAGACCTACGACTTGTGTTCGATGGACTGGACGAGGTACAGTCTTCGGAGCACCGAAAGTTGATCAACGATATTATGCGACTTACCAAAGGCCCAAATTCATCATGTCGCATCTTGTTCATCAGTCAAGACGTACCAACGATACACGGTCCGCTGTCCAAAGTGCCCGCGGTTCGCCTATGCCAGGAGATACATCACATCAATAAGGACCTAGACCTTGTCATCCAGATGAGACTGCACGAGATTGACGAGCAGAACGAGGGGATGCTAGGACCACACCATATCTGCACTTTGAAGAATGACATCTTGGCAAGATCAGAAGGTATGGGACTGCTGAACGCACTGTAATATTGTAGCTGACGATTTGCCAGGGATGTTCCTGTGGGTTCACCTGATATTAGAGCTCTTGATGAACGCCTCGAGTATCGCTGAGCTGAAAAGCGAAGTTGCTTCTGTGCCCAAAGACCTGACCGCATTGTAGGTCATAAGTTTGCCCTTTCTTTTCTGGCTCCAATGACTGACAAATTTCACACAGATATGTCAAAATCCTCAATAGAATCAAAACTCGCTCTGGAGATGACTTCGGGAAGATTCGTCGAGTCTTCTCCTGGCTGCTCTGCCACAAAGGCGGGGATAAAATTCCATTATCGAAGTACACGGTGAGGATAGCAATGGCTGTCCACCCTGGCCGTCGAGTGTTAACATATGATGACGTTCCATTCATTCACGCTGTGGACATCTGCAAACCACTCATTGAGGACGGACCTAATGGCTCCATAACTTTCATCCACTCTACAGTCGCAACGTGAGTCTGGTAGAGTTGCCCGCCACAAAGGATTATGCTGAGATAGGATCACAGATTTCTCGTACAAGAAGAAAGCGGGCCTTTCTTGTGCCTCCAGGACGCGAGAGTCACTGTGACATACGCGTGCATAGCACATCTGTTGCAGTCGTTTCAGCTCGTCTCTGCCACCAACGCCACAGACAGCCTTTTACCGGTTGCACGCTTCGTATATGGATTTCTTCCCTATGCAAATCGATTTTGGTACGATCATCTGAGCCAATGCGCGGAGAGAAGCCTACCAGAAGCATTGAGGCATTTGGTCGTTGAATTATGCGCCACCTACCGTGAGCTTGCGCCGCCCAAGAGGACTGCCGAACCGTCAACCGGACAGTCGCAAGCCCCAGAAGCCATTTTTCAAGGTCTTCTCGAGGCTGATGCCAAGACTTTGAAGGAGCTCATCTCGTGTAAGTCAAACAATCCGATAACGATGTCAATGTGAACATATCCCATCACTTCTCTTGTGTACTTCTGCACTCTAGTAGTGCTTCAGATTTTCCTCTTTCGTAATTGGCTAGGCAACTCGTTCCTCGTGTGTTAACCTTTCGGAACTTTTCAGATGTCACGACCAACCACTCCAGCGACAACGACAATAATCCGATGACAACAGCCATCGAAGCGCACCAGCTCATCACCAGGAAACTGCTGTTGGCTACAGATATGTCTGAATTACCAAAAGAAGTTCTCTTGCAATTCAAGGACACAGTTGGATCAACTGCCTTCACTTGCGCAACTTTCGACTGTCCTCGTTCTGTGGTTGGGTATCCTACACAATGTATGCTGCAGCAACATTCTTTGACCCACGGGCCGCCGCTACGATGCTTCGAGGGTTGCAAGCTGAACGATGTCGGGTTCACTTCTGTGAAGAGCTTGAAGTCACATAAGCGAAAATATCATGGCGAGCATGTCCCTGAAATCCCTCGGAAGTTTCAATGGAAGCACGACGGTGCCGCTACAGCCAAAGCAAACGAAGAGGAGGAATACGGAAAGAAAACAAAGAAAATAGAAGTTCAGCTCAAGGCCGGTATAGTTGGGCAGAAGACGAACGAGGATGAAGAGGAGAAGAAGGCGAAGGATGGAGCCGACGAAGCGTCTTCCACAGCGACCGCTATGCCGGGACAGCAAATTCCCGATGGCCCAGAAAAGAACACCGTCTACGCTCAGCAGCTCCTGCTCGTAAATGGTATCAGCCCGAGCCAGTTGACACCTCAGCAGTTCCAGCAGTTCCAGAACCAGCCACCACATGTTCAGATCAAGTCTATTCAGGCATACTCCCAGAACCTGCAACAAAATCACGGCCTGCAAATGTCGAACAAACAGGCAGCTAACCCCAACGCTCCTCAGGGACAGGGTTCTCCAATGATGGGACAAGCCCCGGATGGGACCAACCTCAATGTGTACTACCATCCCGGGGAGATGGGAGGTGCCGGCCCTAGCAGCCTTGCTCTGCAGGAATATCAAATGAAATTAAAGCTACTTGAGCAGCCAGACCTGAAGCGTCGGATGATAGCCAGACAGGAGCAGGACAGCATGGGCAACATACCACGCGCCGATGGACAGCCAGGTCCCGCTAGTGCTCCTGGCCATAACGGGCAGGGTTCCCAGGACACATCTCCTCAAGCCGCTCGTATAGGGACATCACCAAATCCATCTGAGCAGACGAAGCGTGATCCGCCACAGATGAACTCTGCAGGCATACCATTACCCCTACTCGAGGGCACCAACTCCAGAGGCTCGCCGAACCCGATGAACTTTATGCCTTACAACATAGACCCGAATATGAACCCTAAGTTCTTCAAGCCAAATGGGCAACGACATGGAGCACAATAGTATGGGCAATGTCCAGATGAACGGGGGTATGCTGCCACCCAGCTCCCATCCTGGCCAGCTTAGATTCGACGGTCTATGGATACCAGAAATGGCTGCCGCCGCGCGCCTGCAAGGCAATACATACCATCAGGACACACAATACCTTCACGTACGACCATAGGATCGAGAAAATTGAGGGTCCCGTCCGCTCCCCTGCACACAAGCTCGATACCGCTGGACTAGTAGTTGGGTCGGTGACGACCAGCGAATCCCCGGTGTTGTACGTTTTGCACTTCATTTTTTTGTTGTTCGAGAGTCAGATGGTGATGGAGACCCTAGAATAGCTCGTCAAGGCAGCCATGGCCGCGAATCATCTGTCAACCCTGCACCTCAATCATCTCAACGAGGGGAGCGATTCCAACTGCATACAGCCCTGCATCAGTGAGCACATTGACAAAATAGGCGAGCCTGTCTCCACAGTACTGCCAAACGAAGCAGAACGAAGACATGATGTGGCTTGATAATTTGTCACGGCACTGAACAAGGATTCCGATGGGAGGCATGCGGCCGAGGAAGCAGGAGCGTCCCGTTTGCAGAAAATGGTCACCAGAATACAGCAATTCAGCCAGACTGCAGCTGGGCCAGGCTCCCGTCCTCGCTTGTCCCTTTTGCCCTTGCCACAATAGATGCACACGTGTGTTGCCACTGATAGCTGACGCCTTATCACCATACTCTACATTGCCTTTGTAGCAAATGTCCTTTTCCATCAGCCAGTAACTCAATGGCTCTCATCAAGTGTCTCAGAAGTCGTATGCTTTCCGTCCCTTGCGACGCCTGGTGCTCGGTGCGAGCCAGAAGCCATGATCCTTCTCCGCGTGGTTCCTGTAAGCATCGAGGGTTTCGAACTTCACTCCTGCGGAGGTACAACCAGGTACCACGCAAGTGATCTGACTTCGGCTCTCAAGTACTGTCATCTCCCGCAAGTGCTGTCTTTCGAAATGGTTCCTCATTACAGAAGCACGAGCGTAGCTGTAGTATCTCTGACTGTCGGGCAGTCTCCTGTCACCAACGCACCGTGGACAGACGTACTTGGTAATGGGAGGCTTTACAGGCAACCTCTGGGTCTCACTTGGTGCCGAGCTTGACAAAGGAAGCTTCGCTGATATTGGCATCTCGCGTTTCTGACACAGGGCAACCATCAGATCCGCGACTCTCGTCCACAGAGCGTTCCGAGCGATACTTGATGTCGGTATCGCATCCTCAAGCAAGATCTCTGCAAGTTTCTGTCTTTCTGGTATGTGGAGGTTGATCTCCGGTTTCACTTCTTCCAACTCTGTTATGTCCGCTCCAGCGAGTTGTTCTTCGATGTCCCAGTTCGGTTTGTTCTCGAAGTAATATCGACGGTATTGTTCTTGGACATCCTTGCTTCTCTTATCGCGCTTCTGTCGAATCTGTGTCGTGAGCTCACGAATGATATCCTCTTTAGGATTGTTGTGGATATCGTAATGGCCGGCCTTGAGCGTTTCTCGTTCTCTTTCTAATGCAAGTATCTCAGGATCTATAGGCAAGGAGTCCCAGACCTCTGGCGGTACCATATTCCGTTTTGCCGAAGGATCTCTGGTCAAGCTCATATGCCCCATCAGATTGATGAGGCTATCTTGGGTCGGCTCATTCAAGAATGCGCTCTGGACGTCAAATTTGACATGTTGATTGATGTACGCGCTGTTAAAGGTCGCCCACTTTGGGTCGTGTCGCATAGCTTGGTCACGGACAGCATCTGAAGCCTGGCCTAAACGCGGGACATGCTGTTAGTCTTCCCAAACATCCTAGGTCAAGTGTTCAGTGGGGCGTCCAACCATTGATGGCGTTTGAAACCCCACGACGGAACGCCCGAGGGGTGATAGCATGCTCAAACCCTGCCTCGAGGCTTTGTCTTTTGAGGTCCGATGATAACTTGTCGTAAGTCATTGGCGGTTCTGAAATTGGGTCGGACGTGCCACACATTCGAAATATGGGTCGTTTCAGCCACTCTTCCTTCCAACGGAGAGGCAGACACTGCATTCTTTTTGGGATTTGGAGGTTGTAAATGGATGCCGCTGTCGTCAGCCCTTTTGCAGCGAATGCTCCATCACGAAGGGCGGCCACAATGACTGTGTTGATTAAGCAGAATATGGGTCGACGTGCTCTCGGGAATGTGTATATCGTACTGTGGCTGATCAATTAGAGTGTGAACAGCAAGGGATGTGGAGGTTTGACTTGCGGCTTAGGCTTTCTATCCTCTCCTTTATGGTGGATCAGCTTCATTGCCAGGCCAAATGTGGTGCCTCCATCCGCCTGATCGCGAAGCGCGATTAGGCGGATATCTTCATAGCATAAACACTTCGGACGACCTCTTCCCACCGTCTCTTGGCGTAGCAGCTTCTGGATAGCCTTCGACGCGTCGTCTAGGCATTGTTCGTCATCGTCATCATCATCGTCGTGTCCATTATCCCCGAACAGTTGCTTTCTTAACTTCCCGTTTGGGACCCTTTTCTCGTTGAAGACGAACTCCGCAGGCCTAGCACCTGTGCCCGACAAAGCTTGACAGATTCCCGGGAGGTTGATGACTCGATGGCGTTCCGTTGCGAATATACCACGATCGAAGGCTATGTTGAAGACCAGGAGAGCGTGAAGGTCGTCGGCATTCACAACTGGCTGCTCTTTCATGTTGGGAGGATGCAGCTTGAAACGAGGGATAACGACTGTCTTGTGCCACTACAAGAAGTTAGAGAACTGGTACGACTCTCTTGGAACAGCCGCGGAACAGCCTACTTACCTTGTCAACCTCCATAGTGTCAATCTTCGCAAAATCCCGTCGTGTGGTTAACACAAACAACTGCTTGAAGCGTCGAAAATATCCCCAGGTAGTGCCGTAGGAGTTGATTGCCCCATTTTCGCAGATCCATAGCAAAAAGTCCATGGCAATGGCTTTGATGTTTTCAGTCTCTTTCAAGACGGATATCCAGTCGCCGAGGTTGTTGGATTCGCAGTAACTGAGGTGTATAACTTATTAGAAGTCTTCCAAGATATGACATGTCCGATGACTTACTTTTTCCATTTTTTTGCTACGAGGTAGACACCCAGCTGCGTCGAATCAGCCCAGACAGGGGGAATGAATTTCAACTCGTCGAGGTTTTTGCGCAACGTTTCATGCTGTGAGGCGTCGAGCACATCTGGCCGTTTGCTCCGTTGCTCCGCCTCCCTCTTTTGAAAGAGGCGAACAAAATCAGTGTGTGTTCGTGCAGCATTCGCCAACGACGGCATGGTGATCGTCTTGATGGCCGCATTGGCGGGCAAGCAGGCAAGTGAAGGAGGGCATGGCCGCGGTTATTATGGTACTGTGCTTGAAGCTTCATAAGTGGCACAAGGTCAAGCAGGGGTGCAGTGCAGGGCGCGGCCTGGACGCGCTGAAGCAGCCCCGCCCCACCCACACCTTTCCGCACCCCTGCTCGACAGAATACTGTTTCCTGTCCGAGTTTCCAGGTACATTCAAGGAACATCGTAGTGTTCAAGGGTCAAGGAATTGATCCCCAAGCCTGCTCAAAAATGATTCTTGGGCACCGCCTTTCATCTTTATGTTGTAATCCCAACCTAGATTGAACCACGTACATATGCGATGAGAAGTTGCGCCAAGCTTGGCATTCCTATTGCCTCGTTAACACTATAGCTACGTGACTTGCCTGACGGAGGCGGTGCTATTTCATTATGGGCCGACGTGTTGTGTGCTTTGCTGATTCTACATGCAAGGCTGGCTTACTTGTCACGGATACCGCATACCTCCATTTTCTGTTCTGCTCGTCGGCACCGCGGATTGTGCCTTCCCACCTTGCATTGAACTGACTCAACGGACCAGGGAATGGCCTGCTATGTCACGACTCGCTCCTCTAGATCTGTCCCACCCCGTTCGGCCCCATCAGCTACCATTGCCGAGGAAAGTACGTCAAAGGTTCTTGGACTGGTTCATTGCTCACTAAGCTGTATAATCAGCCTGGCGAGGCAGACTAAGTGGGCTCGACTCAAGGCTTAGCATATGATAAGTCCTCGCCGATAGGGGCGTAGTGGCATGTGGAACTCCTATAAAGCTTTGGTTTGCCCCTCCCCATTTCCTGCACCAGACTTCCCTCATCAGACCCAACGAACACTACTACATATAAGCCACAGCCTTCCCTTCCGAGCTTCCGAATCCAGCTTCAAATCTCGACCTTACATCCCATTCCAGTCCAAAATGTCTTCGGACTACATGCCCGCCATGACGGCGCCCTCTCCCCAGCCTGAGAAGAGAATGCAGATGAACGGCACAATGGGTCTTATCTTTATAAAGAAGCCCGACGGGCTCTACGTGTGGCTACACCAGCGAAGGAAGAAAACAACGACGTTAGTGGATGGCAAAGTCACTAAAGTGTATGGCGGAGAGCGTAAGTGTTGCACTACGCCCGAATTCACTTGGACATCCAAGAAAACTACTCACCGCCTGTATATGGGTGTGCTAACCACATGTAATGCAACAGACAGCTTTGCCGGCCCGGGCGGCGGCGCGGAGCTCGGCGAGACACCTGAGCACAGTATCCTCCGCGAGGTTGCTGAAGAGTACTTAGTTGACCCCGAGATTATTCCTATTGACAACCGTAACGTACTCGCCGAAACAGACGATCGCATGGCTGACGGCAGCTTCTGGCGCTGTCACTTTTATCTCCTTAACCAGCGCAACCGTAAACAGCGGCCACAGGTTTGTAACATCGCATACCGACGACGTCTTAGGCATGTTTTCGACTTAGAAAGAGGCCTTTGCTAATGTGTTTGTCCCTTTAGATTGCCGAGTCGGAGAAGGAGAAGGCTACCCACGTGGAACAGTTCAAGTGGTCGGAAATATTCCGTGCTATCGAAGCGGCGGCCCCGGATGGCGAGACGGACCGCATTAAGACTACAATTGAGGGGAAAGATGGGCAGCGGGACGTGTATTTTTTTGCTTCCCTCATAAACCTTGTCCGCGAGCGTCCGGACCTTAAGGATGAGAGACGCATCCTGGACGCGTACGAAAAGGCCGGCGCGCCCCTGGAGCCTCTGGAGGAGTGAGGCCGCGTCGTTGAGCCGTGGCCCCTTTAGCTAATGCGCTTCGGGGTGTACTATGTAGCATTAGCCAGTATAGCTGTCTAGTAGCTTAAGCCTCTACAGATACCTAGAAATTGAAGCATATGAATACCCGATATATCATAGTGTAATCATAAACCGGCTAAGTTACATTTAGCATATTAACGCGCTGATAATTATGCACTGTGTTAAACGAAGAAATGCCTTCCTGGGGCAGAGGAAATAGTGTAAGCTACTAGCGGTGCTTGTTAATCGCCCAAGAGGGCAGTTTTGTACTCTGGACAAACACTTAAGAAGCTATTATCCAGTTACACAGTACTAGATTGGTATGCCTGGGACATTTCATGGAGGAATCCCTTTCCAAGATGGCTTAGATAAACAGCCATGTTATACTATGATAGTGCGAGACAGTACTCCGTGATAAGTGTGCAGTCCTCTAAGGTCTCTTCTAGCTCCCATGTCGGGCACTGGTGATCGAGCCACTTGATAGCATAATACACCAAGCCATTACGATCCTCGTAATGGGCACAAACATGCTCAATCTTACGTAAGACAGTCTGTCTAGACCCATACGGCCGTAAGCTACCTTCTTTCCAATCGTGGAGAATGTAGTTATCTTCAAGTGCCCAGGCGAGACCAATAAAATCTGCGGCCTCATTTGAAGTTCGGATCTCTAAGCCATGAAACGTTCGATTATTTACCCTAACGGAACAAAGTACTTGGGTCACAACGACATCTGTCGACCATGTTGTTTGAACGGCCGATCCGCGGAATATCTGTTGGGGTTCAAGTACGATCATTTTAGAATACACAGTTTATAAACGGTAAGGCAGGAAAGAATTCCAAAGAAAATATGTGATGATATGGCTGGAATCGTTGAGTAGATAGTGAAAGCGAAGTTTCTCGTTCTTAAAGAGCCCGCCGCCTATTTATATTAAGAAGGCTACAAGCAGAGAGTCCTAGGACGAATGATAGTCCGAAAGTAGCTCGTCCTAGGAGGCTCGTAGTCCCATAACGCCAGTGGTACCAGGATAGCTAGCGATCCTAGGAGAGCCGGTACACCTGTGGTCCCAGGACAGGCAGTGGTCCTAGGACAGTCAGTGGTACCAGGATAGCTAGTGGTCCTAGGACAGGCAGTGGTCCCAGGACAGCCAGTGGTCCTAGGACAGCCAGTGGTCCTAGGACAGCCAGTGGTCCTAGGACAGCCAGTGGTCCTAGGACAGGCAGTGGTCCTAGGACAGCCAGTGGTCCTGGGACAGCCAGTGGTCCTGGGACAGCTAGTGGTCCCAGGACAGCCAGTAGTCTCAGGACAGCCAGTAGTCTCAGGACAGCTAGTGGTCCTAGGACAGGGAGTGGTCCGAAGACAGCTTGTACACCCACGGTCCAAGGACAAGGTTAGTCCAAAGCCGAAAATGGAGCGACCCTCCATGTTCCAAAACTAGCTCCTAGCACGGGAGAATGCTTGCTATAAAATGTAGGACTACTCTACATTCTTGCAAAATACTAACTACGTAACTACTCAAGATGGGTCATAAACCTTTCCTATCACTCTTCGCATTCGTGCTTTCACTATCTAAGGGTCTTTGCGACACTTATCAACATAACCTCTTCGAACTTTGTGACGGTAATAGGCATTAATCCCTTATACACTTACATATACTAGTAGCTAATAATAATGAATCTCAGGCATACGCGTACATAGTACACAGTCTCCAGGTGCCTTCTCTGGGTCTGTTATCCTAGGTGCAAACTGCCATCTATGGCCCAATTCATCACGTGTAGCATACTCGTACCTCGATTTAGCGCCTTGCCTCTGGAACCACGGAGGACGCTTAGCTATATCAGACTCCATAGACGAATGTGGTGGCTATTTCGTGAATTCTTGCGAAAATTGTTTCCTTGATCCGAAGCACAATACGTTATCTTGCGAATGTACATCGCCCTCAGGGAAAAAGATGTCAAGCGTATTGCTAAGTACGAGCTTAACGCCCTCTCTATCTAAGTGAGAAGCTAATAGTTAACTAGGCGACTTTCTGGATGCTTCAGCTGGACATCTAACTTGCTCTAATGGAGCCTGGATTGGTGCTCGTGGTCCCAATATAAAGGCCTGTACAAACACGACTATGACCTTTAATCACAGGCGGAGTCTGTTTGGGAAACTAAGCACACTATAAGATTATGCTATGGAATTACTGATATACTACACTTATTGAGAGCTTCTTCATTATATAATTCGCGATCTTAGAACAGTAGACCAATGATACTATATATGACGTCAAACTGGGACGGTAGTATGAGATGGAGAAGGGAAAGAAAGCTTGCGCTATCAATATGTTCTCATTTAACGACGATACTCTTTTTGCAATAACTCGAATAACTATCATAACTCTTCCCATACGAGGTATTGCCATTCAACCTCTTGCAGTAATCCTACTGATACTACTCGCCGACAGAACGGGCACATTACTCCGATATATCTCATAGACTCCTGGATACAGGACTTGCAGAAGACATGACCTTCATTTCGTGAGTCTAAGAATGCCAGTAAATAAGACGTATTGAACTTACCGCACGACTGTATTGCAATCGGGTTTTTGATTATGTCCGAGCAAATAGAGCAATCAGAATCCCAGCCATAGAGCTGTATACATGGCAATCCCACGAGAATCGCGCATAACAAGCAAAGTGCCTTGTTTCTGTTAGATGGGCTGGAATCCTTCTTGCAGGCTACGTACCGGTTTGTTTCCCAGGATAGCATAAAGAGAATCGCCGTTCATAAGCTCGGATATACACCTCGAACATAAGTCTCGCTGCGCCTCGCGGAAATCTGGCTTGTCTCTGTGCGCCATAGTCTTCGTGATCATTTGCTTTAGTTTACGTAGGAAAGCCATGTGGTGCAAATCATGCCCTTCTGATTGACCTATTTACACTAGGTGCCCATAAGCGATAAGTTAGATAACGTTCTCTACTAGTCCCAAAACTGTAGCTCCGATTTTGGCTTCACTGAGGGTTTCTCTATACGTTCTAGTGCCTCATTGGTTTTGGCGCTGTTGATGTCTTCCTACAGCCTATTTTCTTGCCATGGGTGACGGAGACACGCCTCCGTAATCTCGGAGGTAGTAAAGACAGTCCCTGCTGGTTTTTATGCTCCCCTATACGTTTTCCTGGGCTCGACAGTTCCAGTCGAGGACGCCTGTACTTGTAGTGGGAAGAACAAGCTCCAAGGATTGAAAACAGCGTTATCCTCGACTAAATGAGCTCCCGATTGATTAAGCAAGAGTCGCTGAGCTTCTGCGTTTCGGAGTCGCTCCCCGAATATAGTGTTCTGCTTAGATAGGGACGGTTCTATAGCACTGCCTTGGACAGGTCTCGCGATAGCAAGCTGTGGATCGAATAAAAGATCGCATTGAGCGTCCGTAATAGTGCGAAACAATTTGAAACCACCCACGTTGGTACATAAATCCATTTGATTTAGTTCTTAGTATTACTATCTCTCAGCACAAGGTGAGCCGAGCAATATATAGTGTCGATATCAATTCAAGCCCCTTCTCATCCATAAATTGCTCTGCGTAAAGGGCTATTAGGGTAGGCTATGATTTACTAGTAAGGAGCCGCGCATATGTAGCTGCTTGTCTACCCAGAATAGGAGTCATAGATCCTCAGTCCTCACGCATATCCTACTGTAACAATGATTGAACCCAAAGTGGCAATCTTTGTTGCTACGGCGGTACTATCTAGTGCTTTCCTCGCTGCATGTGAGCCCTTGGCTCCGTGCATCAATCTGATTCAGTATCAGATGGGCCTTTGCTGCTTTCCAGATCTGCCTTGTCCGTTTCAGAGCAGCGGCGGAACGACCAGCGTAGAGCAGACACAAATACCACACTCAACCTGCGTTGACACCTCGCCATATACCACATCGCCCATCGCGGGTCCTTCCGAGGGGCATAGCAATCTAGGAAACAGCTCTACCACACCTGCTATCTCGCACGGAAGTAATGAAGTTACTTCTAGCACGGAATTTCCATCAGAGACCGCTCTCGGGAGCTCTGACGAATCAGGACCAATTGTCAAGACTTCCACTACTAGTTCGCGGTCTCCAATTTCATCCACGAGTGCTTCGGAGCCTTTAGAACAGCCTATAGGTAGCGCAGGCGCTTCGAACGTCTGCAGCCTACATATCAATCAGTCTCTAGGAACCCTGCACCAAGATCCTGTTAAGATTGAGTATCAACTTTGGAGAATGGACAAGCCGTTGTCAAATGGCGAGTTTACCGGGCCATGGGGTACAGACCACACATTTGCTACCTCTGATACTAAACTCATGGAACCACTAAGTATAGGTCTGTCCCAGACAGTATTACCTGGGACGCCAGAGCCAGAGTGTGACCTCCCTGGGGGCTATCACGCACCTATCAGGAAACGTTGCAAGCAGATGTGGGTCAATTATCTACTCGAGTTTCGTTACGGGGATATTGTTTGGGATAGTCGACACAATCAGGATCTCCTCACAATACCGCACTGTCAAGTGGGCGGTTGGGATCTTCGTTTTACGTATAGGCGACAGCTGGACTGCGCCTTTGCATGCTAAGGGAAGCTTACTGCTTCAAAACGCAGCTGCAACGACGCCGTGGAAGTACGCGGTTCACAACAGAGCTAAGGGCTGCGAAATCCATGTAGTAAAATAGCCTAGCTAGTATGATCCCTATGAATGTACCCTATGCCTATCACTACGAATGCTGTCCCTATCAGAGTACCCTACGCTCTGATTCGTCCTTGCTCCAGGCTATATTTGGCTACTCTAATTTTTGGGTACATGGCGTGTACTTTCAAGCGAGCTAAGCAGATCTGGCTTAAATGCGACTTAGTACGGTGAGTACCGGCGCTGATTTTGGCGACGGAGTTACTTATAACGTAGACGTCTCGCGAAAGGCTGTTACAGTCGAATTCGAAATCGGTGTCCACTTTCGCTCAACGCAACTCTCTCTGCGCACGGTCCGCCTTGTCTTGGCGATACCAAGTGTGGAGCCATAAGCAGAGCTGCCTGCAGGTAAGTGGGGCAGCGGTCACGACAGCGAGTTCTGGCTGCAAAGTCGGTTTCCGCATCCTTCACTTATTGCATAAACAGGGTGATATTTCACAAACCTTCTTTCTTGGCGGCTTGGCGGTCAACGCAACCACCGGATCCTGGGAAAGCGGAGACAAAGATCGTATAATTACATATCTGCTCGAGTGGGACTGAATGTGGCAAGCCTGTGGCAAGCCTGTGGCCCCGCAAAGCTCCGCAACAGAGCGCGCGTCAATTATGCCGCAAGCCACACCAGCATGACAATCAAAACATCACCACGACCAACGTATAGGAGCGAGCGCCAAATGAACGAGAACGAGACCGAGACCGAGATCGACAGCCTACGACGGCAACTGCAGGAGGCGCGACAGGAGGCACGAGAACGCGCAGCTGAAGCCTTCAGCGCGCAAGAGCTTCTACGGCAACGTGCAGACAGCGAACGGCAACGCGCAGAAAACGAACGGCGACGCGCAGACAGCGAACGGCAACGCGCAGACAGCGAACGGCAACGCGCAGAGGATGTCACCGCCCGCGCCAATTATACAACACTCACGGAATACATCACCAACTGCCACCGATATCTCGACCTCAAGATAGAAGTCGAGTCCAACAAGTCCCTCACTTCGAAGGGAACCATCACAAATCCCCAGGATAAGTTGGTCCCGTCGTCTCTCAAGCCGTGGAGCGACTTTCTCGAGCAGCAGAAATCGATTCATGGAAGACTGTACTCGACATTTCCTGAAGACAGGCGGGCCTTCGAAAGCATAATATTCCTCGAAGCACTTGGCGAACGACTCGCCAGAAAGAAAATAGCCAACGAGCGCGATCTTGAATCTACCCAGCACAACATTGTCGAGACCCCCGTCGCCAACATTGTCGAAGTCCTCAAAAACCACAATGCAACGAATCGGACATTCGCCCTGGGTCAAGGGATTTTCTTCGACAATCACCCGAATGCGCTAAGCGATGCCGCTGAGGAGCCAATGCAACGACGTGCAGTGCACGACTCGAACCAGCTTCGCGCCGACCAGGTGTGCGTTTACAGGCACGATGACGTGGATCGGGCCCTGCGAAGTCTGCTTTTGGTGGTTGAGTACAAGCCGCCACACAAGCTGACGTTGCCGCACCTTCGTCTCAGTCTGCGAAAGATGGATATACAGCACGAGGTCGTGAATAGGACAACAATACCAACGGACAAGGACGAGCTTTTCTCATACCATGCCGATAAGGTTGTCGCCGCCGCTATCTGCCAGACATACCACTACATGATCACAGGCGGACTGACGTACAGCTATGTGACCACTGGCGAGGCAATCGTCTTCCTCAAAATCGACTGGAGGACTCCTGAACATCTGCTATTCCACCTCGCGGAGCCACGAGCGGAGGTGCTGGCGCATCCACACAATGCTGTGCACTGTACGGCCGTTAGTCAGGTCCTTGCGTTCACCCTGCTGGCAATTGAAGAACAACATTCCAATCCTGGGCAGGATGACCGTGTTCGAGCCATGGGACAACTTGGACGGTGGTGCGTGGATCACGATGCCATTCTGAAGGCCGTTCCAGAGAGTGTACGGAAGCAGACGCCACCGCCATCAGCGTATGCTGCTCGGGACTATGGCCGCATCGATCGATCGCCATATTTCTTTCGCAACCGTCTTGCAGTGTCAACATGTCGACCAGCATCAGGCGGAGTCATCGACGACGAGCTTTCAGATCTATCAGACGATGGAAGCGGTGGCTTCGTGCAAAACAGTCCCAGCCTCAGAGATACACGCCGTCATCCACAAACCGGGCAAAGACGAGCCGGTGGCAGCAACAATACTCCTGCCGGTTCTGCCACATCGCAACGACAATACTGTACGCAAAAATGTCTGCTTGGACTCGTCAGGGGCGGATTGCTTCACAAGGCATGTCCGAATGCAGACTTGCACCAGCAAGGCAGTTCGCAAACCCATCCTGTCGGTTTAGAAACTTGGCTGCAGCTACTACGCGATCAGCTGGCTGGATCTCACGACAAGAACATCGTACCGCTTGGCAAGCAGGGAGCGCGTGGGGTTGCATTCCAAGTCACACTTGCTGAGTATGGCTACACAGTCGTGGCGAAATGCACAGTCCCTGAATTTGTCGTCGACCTCGAACACGAGGGTTCGATGTACAAGACACTCGAGCCTCTGCAAGGCATCCAGGTTCCTGTTTTCCTGGGCGCCTTCCACCTCGAGCGGCCATACTACTACGATCATAGAGTGCAACTTGTCTACATGATGCTCCTATCATGGGCAGGCGAACCCATCGATACGCACCAGCAGTGTTCTCCCGAATTGACTCATGCACGTCGCTCGGCAGTCTCCGCGGTAGCACAGTTAGGTGTGGTGCATGGCGACGAACGGGACAACAACACACTGTGGTGCTCCGAGACCAATGATGTGATGCTCATCGACTTTGAGCGTTCAACGCTCGCACCAGTCTCGCCTGTAATGCCGTCTCAGCGAGTCAGGTCCAATCGTCGGCCGCGCATTCGAGAACCTCTGCTGGCAATTGCGACTAATCGGCGATTCGTTCATCACGAGACTGGACTGCAGAAAACTAGACATACAAGAAGTACTCGCTTCTACATAGCTACCAAAGCGCAATGATGTCGTTGGTTGGTGTTGCTCGTTGTCCGTGACGGACGGGATGTCACCGGACACTTTGATCGGGTCCGCTTTTTGTTTGCCTACACAGCAGGTTGCTGGCATTTCACGTGATAATGATAGCGTTACGAATGACGATAGTTTCAATGGGTTGGAGACGCAGCGACCTTTGCGTACCAGTGAAGCTGTGTCGTTGTGCCTTCGCCAAACTGTGCCACACCTGCCACACCTGCCTGCCACACCTGCCCGTCACACCTGCCCGCCACACCTGCCACACCTGCCACACCTGCCACACCTGCCACACCTGCCACACCTGCCACACCTGCCACACCTGCCACACCTGCCACACCTGTGCATCACGCACTGGTTTGGCCACATCACCGCCGTCAACCGCTACGAGCAGTTACTGCCATGGCGCCGAATCTCGCCCAGGCCGTGCACGAACAGCTCGAGTTTATGATCACAAGTGGTGAATACGCTGACAATGAGATAGCCAGAATCGCCCGATGCAGTCAACGTACTGTTAGACGTGTACGATCCAATCTCCAATGCTTTGGAGCTACGAAAGCCCCTCCGAACGCAGCTGGTCGACCGAAGAGTATCACACTGCCTATGATGAGCGCATTATTCGAGCAACTACTTGAAAAGCCTGGGATGTACCAAGACGAAATGGTGGTTTTCCTCTGGGACGAATTCGAGATACTCGTAACAACGTCAAGTATTGGCCGTGCGTTGCGTGCGGAAGGCTGGACTAAAAAGGTGATTCGTCGAATCGCCGAGGAGCAGAACGCAGATCTACGTGATTTTTATCTCTATAACCTGTCCGCGTTCTCATCTTACCATTTGGTATTTACCGATGAGTCAGGCTGTGACAGAAGAGCTGGTTTTCGACGGACTGGTTGGTCGCCACTGGGCACGGCCCTCATAGAAGTTGCACGTTTCCACCGGGAGCAGAGATATCAAATTCTTCCAGCCTATTCGCAAGATGGAGGAGTCTTCCATCAGATTTTTCAAGGCTCGACTGATGCGCAAGTCTTCGAAAACTTTCTCGAGAGACTGCTTCCGCACTGTGGCAAATGGCCGGAGCCGAGATCCGTACTCGTCATGGACAATGCATCTTTCCACCACTCTGACAGGATTTATGAGCTGTGCAGGGACGCTGGCGTGAAGCTAGTCTATTTGCCGCCATATTCACCGGACTTCAACCCTATTGAGGAATTTTTTGCAGAGTTGAAGCGCTTCATCAAAAGACATTGGCGGAAAGAACAGGACTTCGCTGAATTTCTCGAGTGGTGCGTGCAGACAGTGGGTGCGAGGGAGGCGAGCGCGAAAGGCCATTTTCAGAATGCAGGCATTACAATTGAGAAACTATGAAAACGTGCTGTGGAACATTCAAGCCCTATCACTGTTTACTACCGCTACCCACTTGCTGATGTCGCTGACAAAACGTCGGGCGACTCCAATCTTCACTCCCTTATCTATGAAAAAACGCGAGTCTTGATCCTCAAACACCTGCTCAAGGTCGAGGCAATGTTCCATCATGACATCATAGATGTTCTGGAACTCCTGCTTGATGGAAATTTGTTCCACTTGCAGACAATGCCAGTTGCAATAGTCTCTCACTGCGATGTCCCGTGGGCCGGGTATCTCAAGAGCAACGCGAGATGGCAATGGCCTACTGGCAGACGTTGATGCTGTTGCCGAACCAGCTACGGATTCTGGAGCAGGAGAGAGCCGGGCATTTGGCATGATATTAGTGATGTTAATCGGTGGGCAACTAGCTCGAGACGTTGCTTTTCGCTGCTGTTCTTCTAAACGTTGCTGGTCCTCGGCAAACAACTGCCCACGGAGGCTACTAGGAACATCGTCATGATCAAGTAAAGTGCCACCCTGCTCAACATGCTCAATCAGTGCTTTGAAGTGGTGTGTTCTTAAGCGGTATCGCTTCTTAGTGTCCTTATCCTGCCAGCAGTATGGCCCGACGTGGCAGGGCGGACCTGGGCAGCGAAAGGTCGCGTACACCTGTTGACAAATTGATGGCTGCCCACTGGAGCCTTCCTCGGCAGCAATGTACATGTCACGTTGTGCGAGCATTCGTTCTGAAGTAGACGCGAAGCCTCGTTTGGTCCCACGCTTAGGTGTTACACCAGTGTCTCCACTTGTTTGGATGTAGTTAAAGGTGATCTCGATCCTCAATGGTCGTCCAGCACGAAACAGGTCGCTCCAGAGGAGAAGTTGCTGTTCTACAATCGACCATTCGATGTCGAGTTCGTCGAATCTTTTGACTAGGTTTCTCTCCGATCGAGCCTGCACATGGACTAGGACGGCGGTGTCATCTGGTCGATACGATCGATTCGAGGCTAGCTTCTTCTTCAACAGTTTATCGAGTTTGCTTCGCAGGGTCTTCTCCCAGTAGTCACTCGGCGCGAGGACAAGGTTTTGCTCGCTATCCTTGGAGCCAGGGACGACTCTGCCATCTACAGTCAATTTCCATTCGATCGAGTAATGTATACAAGTAGGCGGATCCTCATCACAAGATTTCCCTTCGACCCAGTCCTCCAGTCGAATCAGAGGTAGTTTGCTGGTCACCGAGGTCTGGCTTTCGATTGACGGAGTCTCGGCGACTCCTTGACCATCGACCGCAGGTCTTGCCGCCGGGATTTGCGGGCTTTCGTAGTCATCAAGCTCATGGACCGGCCATTCGTACTCGTTTTGCCACAGGTCTGGATAGGTGTCGGGTGGCATCGTGATCGGTTGCGATGATGCGAACTGTGTCGCGCAGGGCAATGTCCACGTGGCCATTGCATCATAGTAGCCAGGTACGGGCGCCATTGTGCCTCTACAGGGTAGCTACATGAGACATGGGATCCACATACAGATGAGTCATCCAGCTTCTTAGGAGCTCCCGCAGTCCCATGGCTGCCGTTGAAGACATCCGGTCGGTTCGCCGGTGGCCAGTCTATGTGCAGTTTTAAGCCATAAAATAGTCGGAGGCCCCTCTGACCGCACTCCATCCCGTGAACATCTATAGATCCGGTGTCCTCATCTGCATCCTAACTTCATATCGCTTTTTGTCAAAAGCCGCATGCTGTCCCTTGCGGAACTCAAATGTATTGAGGAAGACGTGGCCGTTGCAAGCGCTATTCGCAGTCCATGGACTGCACAGCCCATATTGCCAGAGTACCGCGGACTCGCGTTATTTGTTCACCGGGCCTTCCGCTGAGCAGAGAGTCTCAATAGAGGACCAGAAGGCCAAATGCACCATGTTATCGCCATAAAAGACGGCCGGTCGAGATTAGAATTGATATGGCTATAAGCTCACGAGAGATTGCGGGAGGCTCCGCTGTGCAATATATGGCTTTTGACTTCGGCCGATCGACGAGAACGAATAAGTGTAGAAATGTTTGTTTGCAAGACCCTTATTTGTTGCAGCATCGTGTGATTTTCTCATAATGTCATCTATGCAATAAGCGAGGAGTCTTGATCAAGCCATTTCTGGCTTTGGAGCACGAATTGGCTGTCTCCACCCCGCCTTTTTGCAGACGTGCCCACTTCTCCACTAATTAACGTGGTATGCCAAGACCAGGGTGCCTGTGCGCAGAACTAGTTGTGCATGACCTACACGGACACCGATTTCGAATCTGACTGTATATGAGCTCCTCATTCACAGGTCGCTTATCTCAGTCTTCTATAGACCCCCCAAAACAATCACATATCCACTTCTAGGATGGCTACTAGGGCGAGTAACGTGGATAGAAAGGAATGGCGGATTAAATGCCGTGAGGTTCTGGCATATCATATCCGTATGTAAGGTTGCGCAGCCTCCCAACCCCTGCTAATAGCATATAGGCCAGCAAGTGGGTTGCCATATTACTCCTTCAGATGTCAGACTAGTGACGTCTGAGAACGATCCATATCGCTGGAGCTATGTCACCGAGGCAGCGCATTTATTTACGAAGAATCTAAGCGATCACTCCATCAGCGCTTATAAGCAGCTCTGTTCAGGTGTCGGGGCGACTTTCGAAGCTACAACGCCCGGCCCCTTCGTCTTAAGCAAGGTATGGTAGATCAGCTTGTTGTTTCATCATAGCTCTCACAGCTAACTAGCTAAGTCCACCCTAAATCAACCAAGTTTTACGCTACATATTAGCAATCTCAAGAGTGAGATTGAGAGACTCCAAGGCGAAGCAGCTGATCTACAAGTGCGCCTTTGCCAAGAAACAGAGCTGAAACTCTCCGCCGAAAACCGCTTGTTGGAATTAGAACAGCTCGTTCTACATCTTGAGCAGCAAGAGATTCAAGCAAGTGAGAAAGCCGATAAGTTTGAGAACCTTGCTAGTACTTGTCTCTCTTACGTAGACCAGATTTCGCCAGACTTGCAGAAACTCATGGAGCTCAGCAGGGACGTCAAGAGTGGAATCGACCCTCCCTCATACCATTAGCATTCTACCTAGCTTAGTGAATATTAGCCCACGGGCGTTTGGCTTACTACGAGGATAGCAGTGACTTCTTGGAGCAAAGCATAGCCATACTGAACTCGCCTCTGGCCTAGCAGTGCGCGAAGGACGACTGGTGGCTTACTGACCCCTAACAGCGCTAGGAACCATATTCGCGCAGGCCTGGGATTAGATCTTTGCTGAAGTCTTAAGTATCATTCAGAATGCGAATGCGGTCATATCAAGGACGTTAAGGACATTGTTATTGTTCTTATACTCCCTTATAGGTATCTTCATCACAGTCCGCAGGCAAGCCTGGAGATCCGCTTGGGGAGAGGATTCTGGCTTCGTAAGCGGAGCGAGCAGGTACTCCCGAGCAGGTCTGGCGCAGGCTTCGGGTGGTTCAGTAGGTGGTTCAGTGGGTGGATCAGTAGGTGGTTCAGTGGGTGGTTCAGTGGGTGGTTCGGTGGGTGGTTCAGTGGGTGGCTCAGTGGGTGATTCAGTGGGTGGTTCAGTGGTTGCTTCGAAGGGTTAGGTGTACTGTAGCGGAGGTGCTTCAGTGATTAATTTAGTGGATGATTTAATAGATAGCTTAGTGGGTGGTGCAGCAGTCAATCAGCTGCTTCAGTAGGTCGTCAATGGCCTAGCGGCTCTAGTGGGCAGGTAATCCCGCTAATAATCCTCGAGCCAACCACTATGGGCAACGCGAAGCGCGCGCCTTCGGTGCTCCTGCTTCGCATTCTCCATCAGTAGCTTGAAAGATTCGTCTACTTAATGCCGTTAGAATGACTCGAGCCGTGCATGCAAGTCGCTCGCCTTAACAGGAAAGCCATTCCTAGACATAGTCGTTGGGCAAGAGGGAGCTCTTCATTCCTCTAGATCAAGCGCGGAGCCTGAATGTTGAGCGGGTGATGGTCGAGAATGCATTGGGGTGCAATGAGTGCGGGAGGTAACGCACTACCACTCGTTTTCGACAAGGCGCGACGAGAGGACACCGCACCCAGCCATGCCGTGTCCAGCCACAACATGCACCACGGCACCGCGCCACCTCCTGAGTCAACGCGCTTCCGTGTCAGCAGAAGCTACTGTACCTCGAGCTACTCCGGACACCAACCTGGAGCGTATCCACGGCTCTGAACGCCGTTATGCTTGCATTATTTATGCGCGCTTACATGGGCGGTCCTTTCATACAACTACTTACACGTGCTTCGCATTGATCCTTCAGCACTCCTCAGCAGTCCCCGCAGAGCGGAAAGGTGAACGGCAGTACACAGCAAAACCGCCGACAGCCCAGCGGTACACCTTGATTAAGCATCCCCATGCGGGCTCTGAAGCGGTGCAGCGCTTCTGCGCCGGCTCAACTACTACATCGAGCCGAGGAGGACTGTCATTGACCATGCTCGAGTCACTAGCACTCAAGCACCTCCTAGCGCTGCATCGAGAGCGGCATTGTACCATCTCCGACTATAGTCGATAATGGCTCATGACCACTTGCTCGCGTGGGAGCCATTTTCTGCTCACGCCACTTTCGTCCCGGCTGCACTACAGGATGGGGCAGCAAACACCCAGCGCGATCGTAGCTTGAGCAAGCTCTGGGCCCACAATTCCGCTTGCGTGGATGCATGCGGGACCTTTGCCTTTCTCGTTGACGTTGTCTTTCTTTTCCAAAAGCCATTCATTGGATCACGGCCCCGATCGCCACCCTGTCCTCACGGCTTCCAGTCATCGGCGGCGTCGTCTTTTGCTTGCAGTATCCTGGGGTTGTTTGTTTGAGTTGTTCTCAAGTCGAGAGCCTCATGATCGCTACCTCAAAATCAGACAGGGTTATTCATCCGCATAATTGTCCTACGGTGCCAGCTTGAACTGCTGAGAGGTACTCCCTAAATTAAAGCGCACGAATGTGGTGACCTATATTGAGACGCTTCGCCCCAGCCAATGATTCTATGGCGTCGCAGTATGAACTGCGCGTGCTGATTGGTTCCTCAGCATGAGATGCGAGCTCCAGAAGTTGTAATGCTGCATTAGAGCTGCCCCGCCTTCGTTTGTGGGAGGCTCATTTCGACCTTGCACTCTGTACTTATCTCGGTAGCCCCGCCCCCGCTTCCCTTTCACTCCCCCGTCCCCTTCTATACCATTCTCCAGGATTATGTTCGACAGGGCAGAGCAAAGCACCATGGGCGACCTCTTTTTACCAAGTCACAGATGAACCTCACAATACACCTAACCACCCTGCATACATCGGTTGAGCTTCTGCCCGTGCACTCCACGCAGATGCATACAGAAGTTCCACCTGCAACTGGCCACCCGCGCGCAACCACCAATCCACCTACCCTCGCCTGCATCGCCACTTCACCTGCTATTTATTGACTGCGTGTGATAGCGCATCATTGCCCATGCAGCCGGTGTACGAGGCGCAGGTAGGCATGCATGAGTCAGACGTGACCGGCGATTGAGCTCCAGGGCTGAGGGAGCTTTGCGGTTACTTACCAAGTCTCGCATCACGATGGAGATAATGGATTGTGGAGACATGGTCAGACACAGTGACAAGAATAAAAAATTTATGCTATATGAATATTCGCGTGAAGCAAGAATCAGTCCGTCTCGCTAGCCCGCCTTTGTCTCTTCCCAACTTTCCTAGCACGCCTTTGCCTGTTCTCAAAATCCTTGATTAAGTCTGGGTCAATGTCCTCCGTTTTTTGCCAGGTATTTTCCGACTCTGGATAACCCCACCACTTGATCTCATACTCCATAAACCTACCCTTCTTTTTCCGCGCGACGAGGCGTTCAACACGCCACTGATTGTCATCAGCATCGATCAGAGAAGCAGTTTGCCCATTAGCTTCTGTGGTGTGCTCCCTTGTTTGGACTGCATCATGGAGGGGAGCCTCTACTGCTTGGTCAGGGGGTGATTCCTGCTGCGTCTTGACCTCCAGGCTGTCGCCCCGTGCCCCCGGAAGGTCTTCGCATGGCCCACTTGTCGAACTGGCTTTGGTGCGCGTGAGAGAGAGTTTCGTAACCGTGATGAAATGATATGTTGTAGCAGACGATTGACCCTCCGTGCTGGAGCGTGGGGAGCTGTGGCGACTCCTCTTGTTCTTGGAACCATGTTGCTCTTCTTGTTCTCTTTTCCTTTTTCCATTCTCAAAGTCAAGCTTGGATTGGCTTGGGATACAGCCATGATCATCATAGATATGGAAAATGAGCTTTTCTGGCGAGGCGAATGGCGCCCTTCCCTGACAGTGTGGGTGACTACAATGAGCTTGAGAGCAGGTGTTTTGCCTCCTATTTCGTCTTGTAATGCAGTCGCTTAAATGGTCCCTCCATTCGTCAGTGCGGATGAATTGACGCATTCGCGACTCAGGCGGCATCGATTCGTCCCCAAGACAGAAAGGACAAAGGCCCGGTGCTGCAAGCACACCCGCATAGGTGAGAGGGTCGCACCACCTGGGGATCGAAGCCGGATGCTCGAGGTGCTGGGAACAGTGCTGAGTCCATTCAGATTCCCCAGAAACCCATTCATGGCATACGAAGCAGAATGCCGTCGGAGATGACTGTTGCTTCTTATAGCAGTTATAGACGTGCTTCCAGTTATATCCACCCTGGCGTCCCTTGCAGTTGCACTTCTGCGGTTCGAGTCCTGGCCGATATTCTACCTCTTTGTCTTGCCGACAAAGGGATATCAAATCCCCCAGGGCCTCTAGCCCAGGCGGGTCGCGTAGTAGAGCAGATTGGAACAAAGCCTTGGAAAGACGATCTCTTTCAGGCATTAGATAGCGAACTCGGTCGAAGAGGCTCCGAAGATAGCAGGGCTCTGGCGTTGTTCCCTGCGGTGCCGATGATTGCTGTTCCTGCAGCACCCTCGTTGCTTCACGCTTGAGTCTGCGTGTCTCCTGATATAGCTCATTTATTCGCTTTTTCGTTTTTGGATCGCTGGCATCTCTAAGCTGCAGCTCTTGTAGCTCGGCTTGAAGCTTTTTCATCGGCTCCGAGTCTGCCAACTCAGCAAGGCTCTCTGCAGGAAGTGCTAGCAACAAGGAAGGGTTGCGGCAAATTGTCATATCTTGGAAACGCTCCAGCACCTCCTTGCGAGATTCGCCGTGAAAATATGAACCCTGTCCATCTGCTGCAAGAGGGGAGGCGTAGTATTTATCGTAGGTACCGTTGTCCCTTTGGCCGGCGTGTTTCCGGCGCTCTGCCTCCGAGTGGTATTTTGCTAGTAGAATAATTAGCAGATACGACCTATGCGCTTAGTGACCCTCAGTACTTACAAACGCGCAATAGACTACTTGCTCTGAACTCGTGCGGACGCGGTGGATCTATGTAGCCAGCTCGGAAACCAAGCTTCCTGATACGTGCAGAAATAGTGACTGCTCGTTCGACGCCCTTGCTACGGATATTAGGGTAGAAGGGATGGCCCTCTATGCCCTTGGTCCACGGAATAACCGAGATATCCTCCCCGGGATTAGGTTTGACTGCTAAGAGCGTGTCGATGGTCTCGTGTCCCTCAATTGCGTTCCTCGCCAGAAGGAATGCAAGATGGAAAAGAAAGCCATTCCGGGAGAGAGGGCAAGGCTTTCTCCCTTCATACAAGACATGTTGCGGCCTGGAGAAGCTGGGTTAGTTAAGATCCCGATCGTCCAGCCCGACTGTACTCTACCTTGCGTGAGGAATGTACGTCATCCCCTTCGCGTCACGAACGAGCCGGAGACCAAGCTCCGGTTTCATGTCTTCGTTGTAGAATACCACAAACTGAACATCCTAAAGAGAGGGTCAGTATAGGCACCATCTTGATTGGTTTTGGGAGGACCCCTACCTTGAACCGCAATCCTCGTCCTGAGCCCTCGCGGCAGGTAGACTCGAAGTATTCCCCGATCCTAGAGGAGGAACTAATATGGGTGCTGAGACTTGCCCAGTCATATACTCTGACTGAAGGCCGCCTGTAGACATGCCAATCTCGAGCCCACTGCTGCTCGGCCAAGTGACCGAAATGAGGCAACGTAGCAAAGCGCCTTGGACGTTTTACCGCAGACATCGGGAAGCTTAGTGGGAGAACCGTTTGGATGTACTGTAAAAGCAAGGATATCAGTCTGAAAGGCTCATGGTTTCGTTTTGAAGATCGACATCTACCTTTCGAACTGGTTTTGTAATCTCATCGCCCAGGGGTTTTTGGAACAGAAAGAAATGACGAGAGAATAGTTTCCAGTACTGAATGACAGTTGATACTGCAGGATGGTGGGCGACTGCTTCTCTGTCTTCCACGCTTGGATCAGGTCTTATACCTTGTATTCCCATTGCGACTTCTCGTATGAATTCTATACAGTCGTCGACCTCTCTTTCACTTGCTCCCTCATTTCGTTGTTTGAATCTAATTAGGACGTTAGATTGGGTACTACCGGTTTTGCGGCCGTAGAACTTACCCTTCCCACAAAGCCAACACCCTGTCCATGGCTCTTTGCTCATTCTTAGGGAGGTTCCGTAACAGCTGGGCGTAGTCTGTGTCTGCTCTGCTCAGATCTACACCCCTCTCTCTCGCAAGACGGAGGTAGTCTTCGGGGCTTCTCTTCACCATTCTTGCGGATGATAAAGTGTCTCGTGGAAGGCGAGCAAAGGACAATTCAAAGTGTAAGGCTTGGATAGGGAGAGAAGGTTGAGGTCGTGTTCCTGTAGGTTTTGGTGGTCGTCTAGAGCCGATGAGGAAGGAGGAAGGATTCAAGAGTTCCTGGAGCCGGATATGGCTCTATTTAAGCTCGATGGAAAGGAGAATGCGCCCCGTACAGTCAGACTCGAAATTGGTGTCCGTGTAGGTCATGCATAAATAGTTCTGCGCACGGGCACCCTGGTCTTGGCACACCACGTTGATCAGTGGAGAGGTGGGTAGGGTGGGGTAGAAGACAGCCAATTCGTGCTCCATAGTCGGTAATGGCTCCATTGAGATCCCTCGCTTATTGCATGGATGAAGGCATTAAATTATGAGAAAAACACACGATGCTGCAACCAAACGTTTCTGCACTTATTCGTTCTCGTCGATCGGCCGAACTTGAAAGTCATACATGTACATGTTCATGCAATCATACCAGAATGGTCGGAAAGATAGCTGCCTGGATGTACAGTACCGTAGCTGCCTTACGAGGCTGACGCCTTATCCTCCACAAACTGGGTCGTATTTGGGCTTCCCAAAACAGTACTGCACTGTCTGCGGAATAGGGCACTGGGTTGCAACGTCAGCCCCGCTTCTGGTTCCAGCAGGTGGTGGGACAGTGTCCATGCGGCCGCAACCCCGCATTTCCCTTCCTTGTCCAGCCGCCATGAAACGTCTGCTGTTTGTTGCCCACCACGATCCTGATGCTCGAGGAGACTTGGTCTTTCATGACCAAAGTCGCATCACGCCGTCGCCAGCCAAAACTATCAATCAATCGAGATACCCTGCTCATACCACCCTTGCAGGATGCGCCTCTTGGAAATCCAAGAGGATGGCAGCCTCAGACTTGGGGCGCATCCCCCAGAGGACGTCCCGCCATATGCTATCCTCTCGCACACCTGGGGAGCCGATGACCAGGAGATCACCTTTCGAGACGTTCAACATCATACAGGCCACCACAAGGACGGGTATAAAAAGCTCACGTTCTGCAGCCAGCAGGCTGCGCTGGATGGCCTGAAATATTTCTGGATCGACACCTGCTGTATAGACAAGTCTAACAGCCAGGAGCTTCAAGAAGCGATCAACTCCATGTTTCCCTGGTACAGAAATGCTGACCATTGCTACGTCTACCTCAGTGATGTGCACAAAAACAGCGGTGACGACGAAGACAAAGCGTCACAAGTACCATGGGAGACAACATTTAGAAGAAGCAGGTGGCTAACCCGCGGCTGGACGCTACAAGAGCTGATCGCCCCAAGGTCGGTCAAGTTCTTCTCAGCAGGAGGAGAAGCACTGGGCAACAAAACAACGTTAGAGGCACTGCTACACGAATGTACAGGGGTCCCCATTGACGCCCTTCGAGGGAAAACTCTGGCTGACTTCAGCATCAACGACCGACTCTCTTGGCTGGGAAAGCGCAATACCAAGCGTCCCGAAGATCTTGCGTATTGCATGTTTGGCATCTTCGATGTTCACATGCCACTTATCTACAGCGAGGGGGAGGAGAAGGCATTCTTCAGACTAAGACGAGAGATTGGTAAGCATCCATGGCTTCAGATACGCTTCCAATTAGCTGAAGCACAGGCTGATCATTTTGGCCGGGTATCCATTCTTGTTCATAGGCGAGGACACAATCAGCCAAGCAGCCAAGCAATGCATTGCCGACTTGCGCGTTACCGATCCTCGCCATGATAAGAGGCGCATCGAGGGCATGAAGGGCAGCCTACTCAGGGACTCCTACTTATGGGTGCTCGACAACCCGGACTTTCGCCAGTGGCGCAACAATGAGAATCAGCGACTACTCTGGGTCACAGGCGATCCGGGCAAGGGCAAGACCATGCTGCTCTGCGGAGTCATCGACGAACTCGAGAGGATGCGCACCGAGGGACAAACTCTATCCTACTTTCTTTTCCAGGCTACCGACACGCGTATTAATACCGCGACAGCTGCATTGCGCAGCCTGATCTACATGATCCTCGAGAAGCACGTTTCCCTCGTTTCCTACATGGAAAAGCAACACGAAAAGGCCGGCAGACACCTTTTCGAAGACACCAACGGCTGGCAGGCGCTATGTGAAAACTTCGACAACATTCTCCAGGATCCCAAACTTCAGGGAGTTGTCCTTGTGGTCGACGCTCTGGACGAGTGTTTGCAAGGTCTGCCAGTGTTTCTCGACCTGGTGGTCAGGACCTCGCAAAATACCACAGCGAAATGGCTCATTTCAAGCCGCAATTGGCCTCAGATTGAGGAACCATTATGCAAAGTGGCGCACAGGCTTTCGCTTGAGGTTAATGAAACTTCAGTTACAGAAGCCGTAAATACCCATACATCGAGCACAAGGTGTCCGAGCTTGCACGACGCAAGGGTTACCGCGATGACATCGCCAAGGAAGTTTACCACTATCTGTCGTCGAACGCAGATGGCACGTTTCTCTGGGTTGCCTTGGTCTATCAAGAACTCGAAACGACTTACTCCTGGAATGTGTTACAGAAAGTCAAGTCTTTTCCCCTGGGGCTTGATGCTCCATATCAACGAATGATAGAGCAAACACTCGCCTCAGAAGATACTGAATCCTGCAAGCAGGTTCTTGCACTCGTAGCAACGACCTATCGCCCACCGTCGCTGTCTGAGTTGATGACTCTGGTCGGAGAGTCCTTTCGCATGAAAACCTATCGCGAAGGCAATTGATAGGGGGGCATGACGAATTGATACGCGGGCATGACCCTTAGGGGGGCATGACTTTTTGTAACACTTGATTGGGCCAAATTTTCTAGATCCATAAATACTTCCGAGCAAAGGCGGTGAAGCCAGCCCTCTTAACAAGCCCAGATTTCGTGACCGCAAATGCACCCGACCAACACTAACCCTTTAGAACAGGCGTCAAAGAGAAGTATTGCTTTCGGTACTGTTAAGGAGAAGGTACTGATCCGGAATAGGCACGCGATGGGAAGTTCTCTGTATTCCAAAAGGTCGCTGTCGTACAAGACTATTGCTTTACCGTCGCTCGATTGGCGAGCGCCAGGCGAGCGACAGGTAAGAGACGGGCGCTCGCTGACTCAGCGAGTGCTTCCTAATTGAGTGGGTGCGGCCCCCCTCACAGGTACAGGGTATTCAAGGGCTGTTTCATAACCAAAGCTGTCTACGTCTCCCCTTACTACTATGGAAGGAAGAATCTCCTCTTCGCCATCAGCCAGCTCCCATTGATTCCTCCGTCTCCGAATGCTGGGCTGCGTTCTCCGCCCGCTGGCACGAACTCCTGTGGTTCTTCCCGTCCCTAGAAGGGTCGACTGGCTGCGTAACTGGCGCTGATTCGAGACATCAGCTTGGCCACTGGCCTGTCGGCTCGTCCCAAGTTCCATTCTGGCCTGAGTCGACTTGTTCAAGCTGCCCTGTGGACGACCTCGCCTACGGCTCGGGGGCCCCTGGTCGACCGGTTGACCAATCGGCTGACTACTAGTCTCGATGGCTAGCCCTGATGGAACGGCCTGCTTGGCGTTCTTAGGTCTGCCACGGAGAGCAGTGGCGATCTTAGGGTCGAGGATTCGTCGGTATGGATCTCGAGAGGATGCTTCTCGTAGGTGCCACCGAGGATGGACGTCCCATTTCGTGAAAGGCGTGCCATTATTCAGCTTTGAGTAGATCCTGTGGCAGCAGGGAATTCCAAGCTCGATCGACAACGAGCAGTCCTCGCCGCAATCTCTGAGGGATTCAGGGAACGGATTCTTCCCGGTCGGCATTGCTTTCCTTGCAAGCCGATATTGTTTGTTGATCAGTCCAAGGCCCTTGGAAGAGAGCGCCGTCCGGAGTTCGCCGAGATACTCCGAGCTAGGCCCAATGTACTCTCGCGCGGTAAGTACCTCGTCCGCTGCGCAAGCGTCGTTGAAATCTCGCTCCTGGTCCCTCATCATGTCCTGCATAGCCTCCATGAGCCGATAGAGATGGCTCATACCATTCAGGAGATAGCTCTTGATGTTGTTGTTGCTTGCTTCTGTACCAGAGGTGACGCGGACGCCGAAGTTGCGATACTTGCGAATGAAACAGCGCGCCCACTGCGCCCGTACAGGCATATAAGTTCCATGGAGATACCGCAGGATAGCTCGCTGGTCATCAAACTCATTGCAGAGATTTCTCCACGCCTTCTCATGAGCCTCCTCAGTCTCCGCAAACATGACGAGCTTCCACATCATGAGGACCCCTCGATAGCTATGAGGGATGACCGCCGCCGTCGGGGCGTGGACCAACTGTCGGTCTTTGGGGCTCAGCTCAGCCTGTGCCTGTGGAGCAGAGTCTTCTCCGTCGCTGCTGTCGGAACTGCTGCTGCTGTGGCCCTTGGCCCACTTCTGCTTTGACTTGAGCAAGACGTTAGAATTGATATGGTGGATGCACAGCTGCTGCTGTGCATCAGGGAACTGATCATTCAGGGCTGCCTTCATCTGATCGTCGAAGTCGGTAATGATAACGTCCGGTTGGCGAATAGAGTGTTGCTCTGAGAGCTGTCGAATACTCTCGGAGAGGAACTGAAACCCCTCCCGTCTCTCGTTGTCAATCAGGCCGAAAGCAGCATTGAAGACAGAGCCAAGGCAGGTCTGTCCTGTTGCCTGAAATAATGGAAGCTTGAAGCGATTGGTGTTGTATGTGTTGTCGAAGCTGATCACCTCGGGAAACCGCTTCCACATCTGGAGGCAGTAGGGAAAAGTCCAGACAAGGCCAACGAGACGGTTTGGCTCATCGTCCGCCCACTTCACGAGATAGGGAATCTCCATCTCGTCAAACAGCTTGATTAACGCGGCGGTGGGAGTATAGCCATTCAGCTTGTCTCGGTTGATGAGAGCTCGGGCGTTGTAGATGTCCCTCTGCGTCAAGATTGACTCGGGATGTTGGTCTTGGACCACAGCCCGTACGTCACGGGCCCGGATACCGACCCGACGGCTCGTCGACTCGATGGTAGCCCTGATGGGTGTAGTGAGTCGTCGGTGGGAAGGGTGCGCAGACGGCCTAATGCTACGTCCATGATTGTGTTGATTGTGTTCGGGGTTTGGGTGTTGTCTTAGGAGCCACTTGCCCTCTTCTAGAGCTTCAGCAATGACCATCCACTTGCATCCACACTTCCGAGACTTGCGTAGCCGAAGCCCTGTACCTCTACTCGGCCGTGGTTCTCCGTATCGGTCACATTGGAAAGAGTACCTCATCCTCCGACCATTGTAGGAATAGGCATGTCGTCGGACGATGCCAAAGCCATTCTCTTTCGCAAAGGTGTTTACCACGTCGAACAAAGCTTCGGCTGACGGCTTTGGGTCGCCTGGGATCGGCGGATTCGGGATCGGGTCTGGGTCGGGGGACGAAGACATCCGAGGAGAAGATCGCATCTCTTGAGGAGATGAAGCTTGGGCGGACGGCTCTCGGGGCGGTGAGTAGGGAGGAGGCGATTCAATCGCATCTGAGCTGAGTGGTGAGTAGCCCCATCTCTCGCGCCATTGACGTACTCGTTCGTATGACCGAGCGAGCTCGAGCGTAAGCCTCCGCTCCGTCCCAATCACTTTTCGTACTAGCTTCAGGGCAGATTGAAACTCGGCCCGTGTGGGTGACGATTGCTGCTGTTGTGCTGATTGAAGTGGCAAGGAAGACAGTGGGTCGGTTTCTGGTCCTGGGACAGGAATCCTCACTCGTAAGGACTGCCTTCCACCGGACGGGAAATCGTTTGAGAGGTGCACCTCGTGATCGAAACGGAGCTCCCATGGTGGCTCGTGAAGTCCACGCCATCCGTGCGGCTGTGGAGCTGTCGTGAAGGTTTCTGGGTAAGATGCAAAGAGATTTCCGAGTACATCTTCGTCGCCGACTCCGTAGTATTGGCCGATACTTGTTGCTATGCTGCTCGCTGAGGATGGCCGATTCGCAAATATCGGCGGGCTGAACTTGCCCTGTCGGCTCTGCCGCTGTCGTTTTCGAGGCCGTACTTGATCTTGAGCGTGGGGACTAGAACTACGGGTTCGTCGTCTCGAGTTGGAAGGAGACTCGGATTGGAACATGACGAAGTTCCCAATTATCGAAGGTTGACCATGGTGGATTTGCTTGCTGTTGGTGGGCTTGATCTGATCGCGTCGCGTCGTGTCAGCTCCGAGATTAGGGGAGATAGCCTTGAGGTACTTAACAGGGTACGGCAGAATTCTGCCAACACTAACAAAAAAGAAATTGACGAATCAGAGGCCCGAAAAGTCATGCCCCCCTAAGGGTCATGCCCGCGTATCAATTCGTCATGCCCCCCTATCAATTGCCATCACATAATTCGGGTCGTACGGCACTAGGCCAGTTGCTCTAAAGCCTGCCTGGATGTTTGCCTTTGTCATCGCAGCGTCGTACGCCTTATAAAAGGCTGGGAGGAAGTCCTCCTTTGAGATATGGGTAATATGCGCCCGCATAAGACCCTCGATTTCTTTACCGTACGCCCGTTTGAGAGGGCTAAAGCACCCAACATCGAGCGGCTGGAGCTTATGTGACGAATGAGCAGGCATACAGAGCGTCACAATGTTCTGTTCCTTGCAGTAGAGCTCGAAATCGACGGAATGGTGGCTCTCGTGGCCGTCGAGGATGAGGAGGCGGTAGGTGCCCTTCGTACGACTCTTCGTATGGAAATCGAAGTGTTTTACCCATTCTAGGCCTCTCTCGTTCGTCGTCCAGCCGTTCTCTAAAAGCGCGATTACCCAGTCGGGCGGTAGAGGGCTATTCGCGGTCCAGGAGTCGAGGTGGACCTTCCCCGTGAAGATAATATATGGTGGGATCGAATAGCCGTACGACGCGATACCCTGGATTACTGTAACCCATTCCTGATTGCCTTGTTGTACGGCTCTTGGCCTCCCGCGTCGATCGGAGGTCGTAACGACAGTTTCGGCGGAGATCTTGCCTATCGCGAAGCCCGTTTCGTCGAAGTTATAGATATCGTCCTTGTGGATCCCGTATTTCGCGATTATATTTCGTACGAGCTCAAACCACGCCCGATACGCGTCCGGATCCTCGCAGAGGACCCTCTGGTAGTCGATTCTCCGATTAAAACGCGTACGGAGCTCAGGTCGTCGTCGTACGAAGGTTGAGGCCCAGTTCGTTCCGACGCGTAGCGCGTCGCGTTCACGAAGGAGTCGATCCGCCATTTCTCGAACACCACTTAAGCGCGGCGGAAACGATCGCGAATCTAGGTCGATTCTATATCGTACGATGCTACCCTCTTCGTATGAGGTTAATTTCTGGCAGGGTGGTCGGATATCGTGTTTCGCAGCTCGGCCGTGGTATCGCTACTGGAGTGTCGTACGAGATATATTGTAGATCTGCGCAGCCTTTCGTACGCTTAATTTTGGGTCGGATTGGAGCGCATTTAACGCTAGAACCAAATCACTTTCAATTGATTGTCGTCCCATGATTAAAGGTGGAGAAAAAGGAGAAGGAAGTGAACCTCAATGAAATTGCAGTAAGGTGACCCGTTCACCCGTGTGACCCGCTCACCCGTGGATTACGTTATATACATCTCTTGAGATTGCCGCTTCACGACAG